TCTGTGCCATCTTGTGAGATTTATAGCTGACCTAATGATAAAATTCGAAGTGATGTACATGTCATTGGTATTAGGTCTAAGACGAAACTTAGCGCTCGTGTCTTGAAGGAAGCCCGGAACCTTATTGTTATTGGCTGTTTCTGCATTGGGACCAACCAGGTTGACCTTCAGTATGCAGCTGAGCATGGCATTGCTGTCTTCAATTCCCCTTTCAGCAACTCCAGAAGTGTTGCTGAGTTGGTGATCGCCGAGATCATTGTTCTTGCCCGTCAACTTGGCGATCGGTCAAATGAAATGCACAATGGTACTTGGAACAAAGTGAGCAACAAATGCTGGGAAATCCGTGGGAAAACACTCGGTATGCTCTCTCGCCCGAGATAGTAGAAGCTGGCTGACTCAACTTAGGAATCATCGGTTATGGTCACATCGGCGCTCAGCTTTCAGTTCTAGCCGAGGCCATGGGAATGTCGGTCATATTCTATGATGTAGTGAACTTGATGGCACTCGGTACAGCGCGGCAAGTGCCTACCCTTGAAGGACTCCTTGCACAAGCCGACTTTGTTACCTGTCATGTCCCCGAGCTTCCGGAAACCAAGAACATGATCGGGCACCAGCAGTTTGAACAAATGAAGACGGGCAGCTATCTCATAAATGCTAGCCGCGGGAGTGTCGTTGATATTCCAGCACTTATCCATTCCATGCGATCTGGTAAGATTGCAGGAGCCGCGCTTGATGTCTATCCTAATGAGCCGGCTGGCAATGGTGACTATTTCAATAACGACCTCAATACATGGGGAGCAGACCTTCGTAGTCTCAAAAACCTGATCTTGACCCCGCATATTGGAGGCAGCACTGAAGAAGCACAGCGTGCAATCGGCGTTGAAGTTGCGGAGGCATTGGTGAGGTACGTCAATGAAGGTACAACGCTCGGCGCCGTCAACCTCCCAGAAGTCGCCCTTCGATCATTGACCATGGATGAATCAAATCATGCTCGGGTAAGGCACTTCGTGACCTATGAGTTTATACCCACAATTAAGTATATGTCTAACGTATGGCATACAGGTCATTTTCATTCACCAGAATGTTCCTGGTGTGCTGCGGAAAGGTACTAGCCATGCGACCCGTGGTTTCTTGAATGTCTAGGTTGCTGACGCTCAACAGTCAACGAAATTCTTGGGGATCACAACGTTGATAAGCAAATGACCGACAGCAGAGGTGATGTATGTTCATCTCGATCAGTTTGTTTTCAAATCCCTCGACTGACTGAGTGCAGGTGGCCTACTTGATGGCTGATATTAGCGACGTCGACAACTCTACAATCAAAGACTTGTATGAGAGACTTGAGAGCCTTGGATGTACGTACCATTTTGCTCCATGATGTGTTTTTTTCTTCCTCTCAACCTTGTAACCGTCATCGCTAACCATGGCCTTCATTGATCGCTCTTCTGTTTCTTTAGCCCGAATTATGACTCGCATCTTGTATTAAGAAAGCCAGGGTTAAAAAGCACGAGGCTGCTTGTTGCGCCGAACTTGTCGACGCGATCTATCAAGGCTGATTTTGCGTCAGTGCTCTTTCAACAGCAGTATCATTACAGAGTGGGGACGAAAAAGCAATGTAAATCATTTCTCACAGTTAATTAGCATACGTTCATTTGGAGCCTATGCCTCAATGGACTTTCATAGGGGGTCATTTACTAGGCTTCATTCTGAAGCTCGCGCAGCTACTCTGCAACTATTGGCAAAATGTTCAACACCGCCTCACAATTTGATGTATCAACCAGAATTTCCAGTGAGCTTATATATACGTTAGCTTCAGTATATAATGCTTTATTTAAGCTCATACTTCATAAGCCGGAAAACATTGGGGGTGGATATGCTTTCTATGTTACTTTCAAATTGGTGTATACACAAACTCATATTTATCGAGACCAGATCATCTGCGATAGAAAGCTCTATCCGTGTCACGGGCACCATCTCTCGCCAAGGGACTCCGGCTCCTTCTTCTGGAATGACTCTCACGTGATTGATCATGCCTATCAGTACTAAGGTTGATGTTGTTATCCCTTTCACGAGAATAATCAACTGCATTTGTGTTAACATGAGCATGGACGTGTGAATCCACATAAATTTCGGGTCGCCCACCTGCACGGTTATGATCTCTTTCGCGTCCAATTCTGCCCATGTTACCAGAGTGCCATTGATGTGCCGATGCAGGAGGTTTTGGGGGTAAGCCACCTCTACGCCAAGGACCTGAATGTGACTCCTCATCCAGCCTAGCTTGTGATGTGTGCGATTCGGCGAGTCGATTGTCGGAAGAACGAGCCTGAGAATGTCCATGGCCCGCACTGGGATGCGGCCTGCTCGAACGGACGGCACTAGGGAGACGGCTACTCTTATTCTCGGCAACAGGCGGTCTGATACCAGATGCAGTAGTCCAGCTTCCATTTGTGGCCATTGCTATGGAACCTCCAGTGGGTGCAGGGGGCATAACGGCTCTGTTGCTCCGAAATCTTCTTCTGTCAAGTTCGTGAGAATCTTCGAACGATGGCAGCTCACCGGGACGTGCAGGTAGTGGTGGATCAGCAAAATAGGGATGATTTAATGCATCAATGGCATTGATTCTCTTCTTCCAATCAAGCCTCAGAAGCTCCCTCAATAAGGAGACCGCATTGGAGCTTTGACTATGTGGATGTTAGAACCTTGTGGTTGATAGTTCATGTTGAAAGGAAAGGAAACACCCATACTCTCTGAAAACCTCAGACAACCTCCCGGGTCTGTTTCCAAAGCTCTTTACACCATCACATCCAGGAAGCAAAGACCATCCTGGCATTGTCTCTTCGGTAGGTGAGCCGACTAAATTGAAGATAAGGTGAGCTTGGTTGAGATCACTGTTGCCAGCGAGAATCGGTTTCCCTTTGAACATTTCGCCGAAGACACAACTGGCCGCTGTCAGAAAGGTGTTTGACTCATCACGGCAAGTAGAGCGTGCTCTCACCCGACACCCCACATATCAATTGCTGTAGTGTAACGCCGAAGTTGAAGAAGAAGCTCCGGAGGGCGGTACCAGCGAGTCACAACAAGAGTGGTGTAATCTCTTTTTGCTTCTCCGCCACCTTTCCCGGGTTGAGGAGGAGGTTCCTCATATGGGCGAGCCAGACCAAAATCAGCAATTTGAAGAACACCCTTATTGCTGATGAGTAAATTGGCCGCTATGTTACTATTAGCCACCCACGTCCATTCCTGTTCGAACATGGCGAATCTAACCTTTCATGTCGCGGTGCAAGATAGAGTTCTGGAGCAGGTTAGAATCATGACTTTGACCACTGGATAATTCGATTGTACCGCGTGCAGATATTTAAGCCCTTCCAGAAGTTGTAACATATAGCACTTGATCTGGGCTTCAGTAAAACGGACACTCGGATTCTCTAGCAGCCCTGAGAGATCGTGTTCCATGTATGGGGTGACCATATACATGCTTGGCTTCTTTCGGCCTTCCCCTGGAGAATAATCAGTGCGAGCGGATTTCTATTAATTGCTTTGGCCTACCTTTGCTGCGCTCCACGGCCATCTCTCTGAGGTGTAAGATATTAGTGTGAGACAACATTTTGAGGAGCTTGATCTCACGGAGAGCGGTTATGGGGAACTTCGAAAGGGTAAGTGAGCTTGGTCATATCGCCTAAGACAGTCAGTCCTTACCCCATCTCTCTCATTGTGCATAAGGATCTTCTTTAGCGCGACAATGGTATTATCTCTCTTCGACCTGGCTTTGTATACCTCCCTGTCCGGGTCTCAATATGCGACACGAATAAAACAGGCAGCTACCGGTACATACCCGAAGGTACCTTCACCTAATTTGCCCAAGAACTCAAAGTCCCGTATATTGGTACATCCACGAAACCTGGGGCTCCCATTCCCCTGTCTCTCAAGAGAGGTTGCAACCATTCTCGAGAACAGCTACCCTGATCGACAGCAAGAGAACGGGCCCTAAAATGCGATAAGCCCAGTGCTTGTCTCTTCCTTGGAAACATTCGAAGGTTTGAGTCGACAGATGAGATTTCATGTGTGTGACATGCAAAAGTAAGGGCCCTATGACACTTTGATAGTGGCGATGTGTGTGGTATCGGAGCACGGTATCGGACTTTTATGCCGGGTAAATTAGAAGAAGCACTCTAATGGGAACTGGACGGTATGAAGGACTTGACGTCAACATGACAAGTTACGCATAGATTTGACTGCCAGAGATGTAAATACCGAGCATTGCGAAAGATCAATAAGTGCCTGTCCTTAATATTGCAGGTCTGACCCTCGGCGGAGTGCCTGGCGCCCGCAAACATTTCAAAGTGTCCTGAGTCACATGACACATGCGTTCCCGTGACGTTCGAAGTGCAGACATCATAGGCATCTTTGGAAGACTCACTCTATCTGTCGTGCACTTTCCGGCATAAACTGGGGAGATTGTCCATCACGCTTAACTCCAAGTCAACCAGAAAGTATCTTGTCGTGGAACCCCATAAATTTCACTCAACAAGCTAACGTATGCAATATAGAAATGGCGTCAAGTCATCCTATCCATGTTCATCCCGCACGACCTCTGTATCGCTTTACGGCTACGGCGTTGGGAGCTAGCATGTGGTTTTTCGTAAGTGAATTCATGATTCTCATCGTCCTCAGAAAGTCACTAATAATATCCTCCATCATTATAGTTAATGTACAGAGCCAAGAAAGATGGACCCGCCCTTTTAGGCTGGAAGCACCCTTGGGATCATTGAGGGCGCAATGGGCTACTGTATCAACCACTTCGCTGAGAGACAAATACAAATATGAGCCGAACGGACATTTCTTGAGATGTATAGTCGAAGAAATAACTGGACCAGCCAAGCGGACTTGTGGCCTCCAATGTCTCAACTCTGGAATCGAGACAAGTTACAGGCTTATTGGAAGCTCCAATAGCTCTTTCTCTTTCTATTCATCAACTTGGACCATTGCTCAGAGAAAGCGATCTAATTTCGCATTTCCTCGAGTAGCATCTTGTATCGACGGCGTTTCTTCGACTGACCTGGTCGTAGTTTTTGACGTAACTTCCCCACCTTGCGAGCAAGGTTGGGAAAAATTCTTCTTTCTGCCGTCCAAGCAATTAGGAAGCTTCCGCTAACAACTGCGAGCAACTGCCAAGCAAAGTAGTCTGGGAGAGACGTCAATTGCATGACACGTCTGAGCCACTGAGTCGGTCTGAAAAGCATGTAGCATGAAAAGAGTAGAGTCATTAGGACCATGATCAGGTATGGTTCTAAGGATAATCAGCTTCTATCTCCTAAAGTGTTGACAGTCTTTGAATGAGACTAACTGTTTGAAATCATCGGCTTGCGAAATGGCGGTCCGGCGCTGAGCACGACGCTCGACAATATGTATTGGAAGCTAGAGACCAGGAAAAGTACAGTATTTGCAGAATTCTCAATGTTATCCTCTAAGCCCGCGCGGGGAGGGTTGAACCTGGGAAGTGGATCAGCAAATCTTCGGTACATGCATTACTTCGAGAAAAGCATGAATTTCGACGCGTACCAGGGTTGCAGCTGGACATATTTGTATGCCACAAGCTGCGTAGCTACACAAAGGGTAATCTGACCGAGCAATGGAATCAGAACTTTGCGTGAGACGAGGTCGGCGGTAGGCCGCTTGCGAGAAAGTATAGGATGGGGGTCAGTCCATCCCACTTGAGTTTCATCAGTATTTGCTTTGATATTGTAGGCGAAATGCAACTTACTAAAGATCGCAATCGGTAGGATCAGAAAAAGATCAATGAAGAGGAACTTATGCTAGTCAGTGACGATACTCGCATGGTCGTTATCGTGTGAAACATGTACCTGGAAATCACCAAGATTTGACGCTGACGCATACAACAGGCTCACAGTCGCAAACTGTATGGCCGAGTAAAGACTCATGTACTTGAAGCAACAGAAGCTGGTAACCAAGGCACCTCTTCCTTCCCTAGAAATAGATTTAGCAGCGAGCTCCCTCGACACTAGGCAACATGTTCTTTACCTAATAAGCGTGGGTACACATGAGATATCGAATTGGCGACTGGTGAACGGGGCAGCAACAGAGGCTTCAGCATCGGATAATGATATACCAACGTCAGCAGCTTTCAACGCGCCGCAATCGTTCGCGCCGTCGCCACAGAATCCACAACAGTAGTCGAGGGACTGCAGCTTTTCAACCAGTTCATGCTTCTCATCTGGCGACATTCTTGCGAATACGCTGCCACGCACGAGCATCTATAAGTATGTTTGTTAGACCCGAATTATAGCAGATGCCACTGCCGGCACTAGTCGTCGCTTTATTTACACATACTCTGTTCAGAATTGTTTCGCTGCCGAAGTCAATTGCCCATCGGAAAACTTCGCCACTGACAGCAAGAGAGTAATTATTTAGGTTGGAAACATTGCCAGGCACCGAAAGGTCAATGCTTGCTGCGTTTACATGGGGCTTTCTAAATCAGCGAGAGCCACCAAACAAGACACTTGAGTCATACCATAAGTGTAGTCGAGTCGAGCCTGATTGCTGGGTCATCGACGCTTTCCCAACAAAGCGAAGCACCCGTATCATGTCCATGCCCTATGAGTAGAGTTAGTAGAAATTTACTTAGATAGATTAATCGTAGCAGGAAGAGCTAACCTTGCGAAAAATGAGGAACAAAACAATGTTCATTGCTACTGACCAACCCGCACTCACGAGCTACACTAACTGCCGTGAGTATGTTATCACCTGTACACATGACGTTGCGTATGCCTGCTTGATTAAGTTCAGTTATAGTCCCCGCAGTCTTTGGCTTAAGCTTATTCTCAAATATAATGAACCCGAGAAATTCAAGATCACACTCAGCATCATGACGAGTCATTTTCTGAATCTTCATCCAGCTTAGCTTTGGCGCATGCTTGGCAGCACAGGCAATAACGCGATAGCCTTTATGTGTATAGTAGCTCAAAAGCTCGTCATAATCACGGGGCACTGGGGAGTTGATTTAGTAGTGTTTACAATAGAGTGGATTGGGACACTGACAGCTTCCTGGGCGACATATAGCCTTAACACTTTCTGGAGCACCTTTTACGAAAGTGCTTGCTCCAGAATCACCAAATCGGCGTACAATAACACTTGCACGACGCAGCTCTGAGACGAATTCAAAGTTGCGCAATATGCCCAGCTCTACATGTGCCTGTTAAGTATCAGCATCCTGCTTTAGTGAGTCGGAATATTATATGAGATGTTGCCATACATGTGGGCCCTGCTCCTGGTGGGAACCAGCAAGGGTGTCAGTGGGCTCTGGAGGTTTTGCGATAGATGGCATGATTCTCTCAGAGTCTGACTGCTCAACATGACTTCCTCCCTCTATAAAAGACCATCCAGTGAACTGAAACATTTTGACATCGAGAGGATCACCCAATAATTCACCATCAACCACTCTCAGAGAGTGGCATGTTGCCATGGTGTAGAGGATATTATCGTGACGAGTGTCCCTCTGTATAGTAGTTCTGTCCGCCAGGGGTGCGGTGTCGAAATAAATGGTAGAAATCAATCCGGAGAAGCTACAGCATAGTCAATAGACGCACAAAGGACAAGTAAATATGTATTTCCCAAACCTCTCATTTTTGTCGGCGACCCGAATCCCGAGTACGTCTAGTCCGTCCTCAGTGAGGGTTCCAGTTTTATCAAAACAGATTATATCTAGCTTTCCGCCCACATTGACCCTAAACAATATTAAACCAAGTCCCCAAGACTAGAATCTCGGACTTCTCACCTCTGTGGACTGATGCAGAATATCTTATGATTCTTCAGTCTTGAAAGAGCAAAATTCGTTCCTATACTCAATGTAGCAGGTAGCGCTGGAGGCACGACGATTGTGATCAGATCCAGTGCTCGGACAATAATAAATTGCCAAGGAAGCTTGTCTGTGTTAGCAACGATAAGTTCGGTAGTACATTTGGATGCCCTTACTCCTAAGCGGATGAAGTTCACAAAAGAAGCAATGAACCCTAGAATAGCGATGATACCCATAACTGAGATATACCGGAATGAATCCCGATAAAACTTGAAGCCCGAGGGCTTAGGAAAGAGCATTGACCGGATAAGGGCGCCTTTAGTTGTGAGAAACCCAGTCCTCACAACAACTGCTAATGCTATAGCTTCATCATCATCAACATTCTGTGGGCGCCGTGCCCTTATTACCTTCGTACCACTAAAAAGAAAGTGCTTTGCAAGGTTGGGATTGATAGAAGGGCCAGTTAGGTTTAGATACTTCAGTGCATCATCCGTAAGAGGAAGTTTGGTGACTGGGACAGATTCACCTGTTATTCATTAGTTCATCTTCTCAAGAAGGCAGACATGTCTTTCAGACCTGTCAGCATGCTTTCGTTGACTATGCAGTCACCAGACAACAGTATACAGTCACAAGGAACTTGCGTGAGGGACGGATCCGAGAATTCGTAGACATCGCCGGGGACAAGCTCTCGGGATGGAATAGATCTCCCTGTAAGTTAAGACATGAGCATATTTCTGGCACGTGGAAGATGAGCCACACATGGCTCCACCTACAGAATCCATTGCGAAGAACACGGGTGTCGCATTCAAATAGTGATAGCTCTCTTAAACGATTCATTGTCTGAAGGAAAATAAGCACCCTTGAAGATAGCGACAGGCCCACGGAAACGCACCGCTTTTGTTTCAATGACAGTAGCACCAATGCTGATGAGTGAAATGAGAAATATGCATACAGCATAATAGTAATATTCATCGAGCGACCAAAGTACAAGGCTTGCCAGCTGGAAGATATAGAATGGGTGAAAAGCCTACAAAGTCAGGTATCGAAGTGGAAAAGCTCAGGGTTCCACACTTACCTCATCCATAAGCAGTTGAAACGCAGGCTTCTGCTGAATGTCAATGAGATTTTTCCCGAATATTTGTTCGCGATCGTCACGATCATCGGCATCCAGCCCGAGTCTCATTCCTTTCACATTTGTCCATAGGGGATCTTTCCACCCATTCACCAGGCAGAATTTATCCTCGAGCGGATTATAAAAGAAGCGAAGATATCTGTAATCGATGCGTTTCAATTGGGCAATGGTGGGGTCATTATCTTCGTCGTATGAATGGCAGTCAGGATCGGCGAAAATCGTAGACAAGGGGCGCCCATAATCTTGACTGTCGACTTGTTGTACTTGAAATCGATTCCATTGATCCTGACACTAGATCAGCAACAGATAGATAGATCTCGGAGGTAAAGCTTCCTACCTCAATCACAACCCATTTACAAGCACAAAGAGGGGCTGGTTTACCTAACAGGCGAACGCGCCATTTGGGAAACCATCGAAAGAGCAGGTAAGCGAACCCGAACGACAATGCACACAATATGTAATAGAGTACAAGACCAGTGATGCTTGTCGAAAACCCCGCAATCACAATGGTAAGATCTTCTGAGATGATGTGGACTTTCTGGCTTGTTATACTTTCGCCTGTCCAGTTTTGTGCGTACGATGCAACAGACAATGACCGCCGTAGCAGGGGGTCTTCAACTGAGCCTCTTGAATAAGATTGGCGCTTAGAGGACCGTATCGATTCATTTGTGTCATTTAAGCCATTCACGGACACATCGTCCATGTCGCTCTCGACGTCCAATGCATCCTCGGGTGGCCACAATGTGTGATCCTCATCGTCGTGAAAATATGTAAAGCTAGTGGTAGAGTCTTTCCGATCTCGACGGTGAGAGAATGAGACAACGCTTGATGGTATACTCTCTGATATTGGACCATCATAAACCTAGTTGGGTCAGTGATACGTAGCGAAACAGTTTCCCTCGCGACATACCTCACTACGAGCCATTTCAACCTCGGATACAATGCTATAGCTAGAAGACCGTCAGCAAGGGAAAAGAGACGATTGAGTCTGGTGTCAAGGACCTGCTTCTCATAGAATTGCGCCGGTTTTCTGCACCGGGCAAATAAACCTCGGATGGCTGCGACTGCCCTTGACGATCCTCCATGTTTATTGATGCGCCCTGCTGCTCTGCTTCTCGGTGCTCAATTTGGGGGGGAGGGGGCTGTTTGTCTCGGTGATAGTGTCTGCGAGGTTTGTGATGACAGCGAGCAACACGGAGAATATGTCAACCTAATCCATACCGACAGTTGGTTGGCTGATTGTTCTGGTGGCTACTGAGGGTCTATCTGGTGGTCTATGTGGTGTTGGAACAGGAAAAAGTTGCTTTAGTCATTAAGCGCGTGTTGGATTAAGTCATAGCCCAGCAGTAGTAGAAACGGGGTCTTCCGGAGATAGTTAAGTTCCCTAACTTATTTAGGCACGTAGGCTAAGTTTTTACGTTACTGTACTGTAAGTACTCCGTACTAATGAGAAACATCAATACACATGCTTGCTGCTCAAAACTTCCCTGATAAAGACCACTGCTTAAACTGCAGAACGCCATACCTACCTTCATCGCTGACGCTGCCCATGTGTCTCCAAAGAGTCTCTTTTATATATATGGGCAGAAGGTGGTCTACCAGAATAGCAACAAAACCGAACATGAACAGGGAGAAAAAGACAGTCGGAGGAGAAGGAGAAGGAGAAGCAGGAGAGAGAGGAGAGAGAGAAGGAGAGAGAGAGGGAGAGAAAAAGATTCTTATGTGTAGCAGAAGTTGTAGAGATCGGCTGGAATTGTTTTTCTGTCTGGCAGTGATACCTACCATAATTTATACCCTAGCACCCCTTAGAAAAAGGCTTCGACGCAATTTATGTTTTTAGGAATGCCGGAAGGCTAATCTGGATTACTGTTTTCTGTATGAAGGTCAACGTGTTACGGGCACTATTATAGACAAATCAATCATAAAGAACATATAGAAAGTATATGTAGAAAGTAAAGTCCAACAAATTACCCCGGTACGGTCTGCTCTAATTAGCAGCAAATTAGATTTGTGGTTGATCAAGAGTTCCTGTGTAGTTAATGCTAGAGGCGAGAAGATACGGAGTAGAAGTCAGTAACTAACATTTATTGTTGGGAGTACCGAGCAGTCCTCAACAGCCTTCGTCCCGCCAAGCCCCTCGGCCCAAGGGCGCTAATAATCCCACCAAGCCAGTATTCCAGACCTCGCAAAACTTGGGTGTATCAAAATCTTCCTCCACACTCGCCTTTACACACCCTTAAGCCAACTCAGCTTTGTACTCCCCAAAATAGTTTCCTCTGCTTGTCAGATCACGATGTCTGAACCCATCAGGAACAAGAAAGCGGATATTCCGATCGCGCCGTAAGTTTTTTTGACCGTCTAACTGAATCTCAAATTTGCCGCATGCTAGGATTCGATTTCTGATGATACCTGACACCATAGGACACCTCAAAACACTCCAGCTAATAACGCTCCTATCTCTTCCCATGCCCAGCAACCTGGAATTGCCAGCATTAAAGAAGGTAACTGAATGCATGGACTGTCGCCTCCCTTGGTGATTCATCAGACGCTCATTTATCTCCATAGAGTCCCTTGACCATGCTACGGCCGCTTCTCTTTTCGCACGCAACCCGGGTCTAGTCTCCATGATTCAGGGGAAGCTGGGCTCTCTTGTCGGCCGCTCTTCAGGCTACATCGAGTCCCTACCCGTATCCGTTCGCCGGCGAGTTGCTGGACTGAAGGGTATCCAGAAGGAGCATGCTAAGCTAGAGGCTCAGTTCCAGGAAGAAGTGTTGGAACTCGAGAAGAAGTATTTTGCGAAATTCACTCCTCTTTACCAGAGACGTGCTACAATAGTCAATGGTGATACGGAGCCCACTGACTCGGAAGTTGCGAATGGCCGCGACGAGGAGGAAGACGCTGAGGCCGAAGGCGAGGCTAGCAAAGATGAAGCCGATGATTCAACAACAGCTGGAATTCCTGAGTTCTGGCTATCGGCCATGAAGAATCAAATTTCCCTTGCGGACATGATCACTGAACGCGACGAAGAGGCCCTGAAGTATCTCACCGACATCCGGATGGAGTATCTTGATCGCCCTGGATTCCGACTTATCTTCGAGTTTTCTAAGAATCCCTTCTTTTCGAACCAATCCATCTCGAAAACCTATTACTACAAGGAAGAGAATGGGTACGGAGGTGATTTCATTTATGATCATGCGGAAGGCACCAAGATCGACTGGAAAGCGGACAAGGATCTTACCGTACGGATCGAGAGCAAGAAACAGAGAAACAAGAGTATGTCACCACGTGCTGAAATCTCAACTTGTTACTAAAATCTCCAGATACCAAACAAACCCGTGTTGTCAAGATAACTGTTCCCACGGAGTCTTTCTTCAATTTCTTCTCACCCCCACAGCCCCCCACCGATGATGACGATACTGTCGCCACTGATATCGAGGAGCGTCTCGAACTTGACTATCAACTTGGAGAAGATATCAAGGAGAAGCTTATCCCCAGAGCAATTGATTGGTTCACCGGGGAGGCTCTTCAATTCGAGGAACTAGGTGACGACATGGACGAGGATGAATTTGATTTGGAGGATGATGAAGACGATGAAGACGATGACGATGACGATGACCGGGATACTGACCGCGATGTCGATGAGGACTCAGATGAAGAGGTATGACTGATTCAGATCATTGACCATTAACGCATGTTCATATGCTGACACAGTGGGTAGGACGGTACTTCTAAGCCGAAGAAGGAGGCAGCAGAATGCAAACAAAGCTGAGCAGGGCGGCTTGATCTGACGCAGCCATAAGAAGTGTATCTCAGTCACGACCGGACCTATATGCGCTTGGTTGTCTCAGCCGATTCCTTCTACGCCCGTGCGCCTTTTGTTCGATTTCTAATATTGCCTCAAATTGTCTCTCCTATCATATGCCTCTTACTCCTAATCTCTTTTTATGTTCATGCACTAGCAATGTTCTCAGATACAAACATCTTAAAGTCTTAAGTTTCACGGGTCTGCGCCGACGCATGGATCTTCGTTAGCGAGTCTCTTGATAATCTTTCCCCTATAAATTAGGATACTTGCCTCTGTCAAATTCCCAGGTTGCTTGGGCAGTCAGAGCTTACTTTCGTTCCTGGTGTCTAATTAATTGTTTCCATGATATTGCGAAAATAACCAGCAGTAGCGGAAGAAAGACTTGCCGGAGAAGCTCATTATCAAAAAAGCTCTTTTCATTGGAACGGAGGTATTGGGTGGAAGCCATGTTCAGTTCGAGGGGGTCATCGCAATATCTGTTCACCACACCGCTAATTGCAATAATGGTCGATGTTGTACGTAAGACGGAAATTAGTCGCAGCCATGCTCAATGCACAAGATTGAAACATCATGCTTAGATCAGAACATGCACCTAAGGTTCAGTTAACGGGATTATACGTCATTTCTCTTCACCTTATTCTTAGAGGCGAACAAAAATAGTAGATGTGTATCAACGAAGGCCTTTCGTTAATGATGATGACCCTTGGCATTGGCTTTGACAACTGTGGAGAGTGTCTCGATAAGTGGCGCGGCCGTCCAGGCCCGCCTCAGGGGCTGCGGCTCGCGGCTCGCGGCTCCGGGCTCGGTAACGCCAGCTGTTAGCCAGTTCAATAATTTCTCCCTGGAGGAGAGCATGAAGACTGTCTTCTTTCTCAAACAAACCTCCTACGATCTTCCGTGTGTCAAGGCTATGATTCTCTGACGTCTGGATTGAACTCGATTATCTCCTTTTTTGTTTTTCGCTAGATGCATGCGACATCGGCCATCCATACAAGATTGTCCAAAGTCTTACACTGGTTTTCTGGCCCAATCTTGTTCAGGATATCGTCTTGAGAGTCAACAAAGTTGTTAAATGGCTCACAACTACGAGGTGGGCACGAGGGCCTGGCAGCCCGATCCGACCGAGGGCTGGATCGCGTCTGAGGTGAAGGAGAAACATGTAGATGGAGACAAGGTGCAACTCATCTTTTCCACAGAAAATGGAGAGGTACGTTACCATTGTTCGCATCTTTGCGAGTCATCAATGCGGGCGGCTAAATTCTCTCTGGGTTTAGACAAAAACCTTCGAAACCAGTCAAGCTGAATTGCAGATTGACAACAACCCGAACTTGCCTCCGTTGATGAACCCTGCCATGCTGGAGGCCAGTGAGGATCTCACAAATTTGTCGCACCTGAATGAGCCTGCTGGTAGGTATCAATCTTGCAGCCATAGCGCAATGGTAACTGAAATTCGTGAAGTCCTCCAGGCTATAAAATTACGTTATGCACAGAAAGAGATTTATACCTACAGTGGTATCGTCCTTATTGCTACGAATCCCTTCGCCCGGGTCGACTCCCTCTATGTTCCGCAAATGGTGCAAGTATACGCTGGCAAACACCGAGCATCTCAAGCACCTCACCTGTTTGCCATCGCCGAAGAAGCATTTGCGTAAGAGCCGATCCTTCGTTCGATCTGTCTCCCCAGCTCACATAATCTGCGCAGCGATATGCTACGAGATGGTAAGAACCAGACCATTGTCGTTTCTGGAGAGTCAGGGGCCGGAAAAACCGTCAGTGCAAAGTATATCATGCGATATTTTGCAACCCGCGAGTCCTCCGATCAGCCTGGCAAGTACACCACAAGTCGGGCCGATGCAATCAGTGAGACCGAAGAGCAGATCCTAGCCACCAATCCTGTCATGGAGGCTTTTGGAAACGCCAAAACAACACGCAACGATAATTCTTCGCGCTTCGGAAAGTATATCGAAATCATGTTCGATGACAAGACCAATATCATAGGTGCGAAAATCAGGACTTATCTCCTGGAAAGATCTCGCCTGGTGTTCCAACCTCTCAAAGAGCGGAATTACCACATCTTCTACCAGTTGGTAGCCGGCGCAACGGATATAGAGAAGCAGGACCTTGGTTTGACTTCGATTGAAGATTTCGATTACCTTAGTCAGGGCGGGACGCCGACGATTGATGGCGTTGACGATCGCACAGAGTTTGCTGCGACCAAAAAATCCCTGAGTACCATTGGCGTGCCTGAGAAGACTCAAGTGGAGATCTTTCGGGTCCTCGCAGCCTTGCTTCATCTCGGAAACGTCAAAATTACTTCCACAAGGACTGACTCCAACTTATCATCTTCGGAGCCTTCTCTTATGCGAGCCTGCGATATGCTGGGAATCGATGCCATCGAGTTTGCAAAATGGATAGTGAAAAAGCAGCTGATCACGAGGGGCGAAAAGATCACGTCTAATCTCACACAACAGCAAGCAATCGTCGTGAGGGACTCTGTTGCCAAGTTCATTTACTCGAGTTTGTTCGACTGGCTTGTTGACAAAATCAACCGTGGTTTGGCTACTGACAATATCTTGAGCAACTTCAAGTCCTTCATAGGCGTCCTGGATATTTACGGATTTGAACACTTCGCAAAGAACTCCTTCGAGCAGTTCTGCATCAACTACGCCAACGAGAAATTACAGCAGGAATTCAACCAGCACGTCTTCAAACTTGAGCAAGAAGAATACATACGCGAACAGATAGATTGGACATTCATTGACTTCTCAGATAACCAGCCTTGTATTGATTTGATTGAAGCGAAACTGGGTATTTTGTCTCTTCTGGACGAAGAGTCTCGACTACCCATGGGCTCAGATGAACAATTTGTGACGAAACTTCATCATAATTTCGCCGCGGACAAACAGAAATTTTATAAAAAACCACGTTTTGGCAAATCTGCGTTCACGATCTGCCATTATGCTGTTGATGTAACATATGAATCCGACGGGTTCATAGAGAAGAACAGGGATACTGTGCCTGATGAGCACATGGAAATTCTGCGCAGCTCATCTAATGAGTTTGTGAAAGAAATTCTTGATACCGCTGCCGCTGTTCGCGAGAAGGATTCAGCTTCTATCTCTTCCAAGCCTGTTGCTGCGCCTGGGCGCAAGATTGGAGTTGCTGTCAACCGCAAGCCTACTCTTGGTGGTATCTTCAAGTCGTCATTGATTGAGCTTATGAACACGATCAACTCGACAGATGTTCACTACATCCGCTGTATCAAACCGAATGAGGCCAAAGAACCCTGGAAGTTTGAAGGTCCAATGGTTCTCAGTCAATTGAGAGCTTGCGGTGTGCTTGAAACTGTCCGCATCAGTACAGCAGGATACCCAACACGCTGGACTTACGAAGAATTTGCTATAAGATACTACATGCTTTGCCATTCGTCGCAATGGACGTCGGAGATTAGAGATATGTGTCATGCCATTCTACAGAAGGCTCTTGGTGACGGCACTCAGAAAAAGCAAGACAAGTATCAGCTAGGCCTGACAAAAATTTTTTTCCGCGCTGGTATGCTTGCTTTTCTTGAAAACCTCCGCACATCCAGGCTCAATGAATGCGCAATAATGATCCAGAAGAACCTGCGATGTAAGTACTACCGGCGAAGGTATCTTGAGGCTCGTGCCTCTATCCTTACAACTCAAGCTCTGGCGAGGGGCTTTCTTGCGAGACAGCATGCGGCTGAGACACGCAAGGTCAAAGCAGCTACAACCATCCAACGGGTGTGGAGAGGGCACCGGGAAAGGAGGAACTACACTCGAATTCGCGCCAATTTCGTACTTTTCCAGTCAGTCGCAAAAGGATTTCTCTGCCGACAAAACATCCTGGATACAATACATGGCAACGCAGCGAAAGTAATACAACGATCATGGCGTTCTTGGTGTCAGTTACGCGCGTGGAGGCAGTACCGCCGGAATGTTATCATCGTTCAAAATCTCTGGAGAGGCAAGCAGGCCAGGAAGCAATACAAGAAGCTTCGGGAGGATGCAAGAGATCTGAAACAAATCTCCTACAAACTCGAGAACAAAGTGGTAGAATTGACTCAGTATCTTGAATCACTGAAGCGTGAGAACAAGGCTCTGAACTCACAATTGGAGAATTATGAGACTCAACTGAAATCTTGGAGAAGCCGTCACAATGTCCTTGAAAACCGTTCTAGAGAGCTACAGGCCGAGGCCAATCAAGCTGGCATCACTGCTGCTCGATTGACCGCTTTGGAAGACGAAATGAACCGGTTGCAGCAAAATCATAATGATGCGCAGGCAACAGTCAAGAGACTTCAGGAGGAGGAAAGGATATCACGAGAGTCAATACGTTCTGCAAACCAAGAGCTGGAGCGACTACAGCAGCTGAATAGTGAAGCAGAGGACGAGAAAGCTTCGCTTCGTCAACAAATTGTGGAACTCGAGGAACAGCTCGAGATTGCAAAACGAACCGTTCCCATAAATGGTTTGAGTGGTGATCAACCGAACGGTGGGCCAACCCCACCTCCTGCGACCGGCTTGATCAACCTGGTGTCCTCGAAAAAGCCCAAGCCTAAGCGACGCAGCGCTGGTGCTGAACGGATTGACACCGATCGTTTCAGTGGAGCTTACAACCCGAGACCAGTCTCCATGGCTATCCCGAGTTCTGCAATGGGACGTCAGCCATTCACCGGCAATACATTCTCTCCAGGACTGGATTCTGTTGAGGTAGAGCTTGAGAATCTACTATCTGAGGAAGATGAACTCAATGAAGAAGTGACGATGGGCCTGATTCGCAACTTGAAGATCCCACTACCCAGTTCTACACCGCCTCCTACAGAGAAGGAGGTTCTTTTCCCGGCATACCTAATCAATCTTGTAACCTCAGAAATGTGGAACAACGGATTTGTGAAAGAATCGGAGCGCTTTTTGGCCAATGTCATGCAGTCTATACAGCAGGAGGTCATGCAGCATGACGGCGACGATGCTGTTAATCCTGGGGCCTTCTGGCTCTCTAATGTACACGAGATGCTCTCGTTCGTGTTTTTGGCCGAAGATTGGTACGAAGCCCAGAAGACCGATAATTTCGAGTATGACCGCTTGCTGGAGATCGTCAAACACGACCTAGAGAGCCTAGAGTTCAATATCTATCATACCTGGATGAAAGTGCTGAAGAAGAAGCTCTTCAAGATGATCGTACCGGCGATCATCGAATCCCAATCACTTCCGGGTTTTGTCACAAGCGAGACAAACCGATTCCTTGGCAAGCTTCTTCCATCCAACAACAATCCTGCGTATAGTATGGATAATCTCCTCAGTCTCCTGAACAATGTCTACAAAGCGATGAAAGCTTTCTATCTTGAGGAGTCTATCATCACTCAAACGGTGACCGAACTTCTTCGACTCGTGGGTGTTACCGCTTTCAATGATCTTCTTATGCGAAGAAACTTTTTGTCCTGGAAACGTGGGCTACAGATCAACTACAACATTACTCGCATTGAGGAATGGTGTAAGAGCCACGATATGCCTGAAGGAACACTGCAGTTGGAACATCTAATGGTAAGCATGTCTGGCCACTATTCGATATGAGAGGATACTAACCCAATCCAAAGCAAGCAACCAAGCTCCTACAATTGAAAAAGGCCACCCTGAATGACATAGAGATCATACAAGACATCTGTTGGATGTAAGAACATATTTCCAGTCTTCGCCTTGCTACGCCGAATTCACATGACGCTGACCACTGTACATCAAGGCTGTCTCCAAATCAGATACAGAAGTTACTGAATCAATATCTTGTTGCTGACTACGAACAGCCTATCAATGGCGAAATTATGAAAGCGGTTGCGTCTCGTGTCACCGAGAAGAGCGATGTGCTTCTTCTTACTCCCGTTGACATGGAAGACAGTGGCCCGTATGAAATCGCAGAGCCGCGTGTCATCACAGCCTTGGAGACATACACACCGTCCTGTAAGTGAGATTCGAAGGCTGTGGCCGCCGCAAGCCTCACTGACATTTTCAAAGGGCTACAAACACCGCGACTGAAACGGCTTGCCGAAATAGTATCAGCACAGGCAATGGCTCAACAGGAAAGGTTGGATATGACAGAAACGAGCGAGGGAGCGATCCCTGGCAAATAACTTGTACATTGGAAATAGCCCTATCACATCACAATGGCCACCTGGTGAAAACTTCAGGGACTAGCAGCCCTGATTGCCCGCTATTTGATTCAGCAAAAGTGCACCATCATCTTTCGTCGATTTTATCTCAAAGCCGATCATCACGTGCTTTCCCTGCCTTTCTCTCTCACATTCCAAATTTCTCTTCATTATATATTACCATTGCATCAACAATACTGTTATCGATCGAGCAACCAAGATTCTGGTTTGCAGATTTGCTCAAACCGCGAATATTCACCCACCAAGGAACGCTCGGACTTCCGGGCTGACTTCTGGGCATACTTGGGGTTTGGAGCGCAGTAGTGCTTGTGGGGTTGTGGAGAAAAGAATTCGTACGTACCCGTCGGCGCTGACCAACATTTTGACAACACTACATTTCTTCCATGTTTCCATGTTCTAGTCGCCAATCTCAACCCAAGAGTCGTCTCACAGTTGATCAAACTAGCCACATTTTTTTTTCATTGGGAGCATCGCAAACATGGCGCCTCTAAAACAGTTGAACTTCATCACGGGCAACAAGAACAAGTTGGCTGAAGTGAGGGCTATCCTAGGCAGTATAATCCATGTCGATAGCCAAGCGATTGATCTGCCCGAAATTCAGGGCACAGTCGAAGAAATTGCCAAGGACAAATGTAGACGTGCTGCAGAAGCGGTAAGCAGCGATCTTCTGATAATTCCGAGGGTGAAAAGATATTAAAACAAGGTTGTTCCTGCTAACGTGATCGAACAGATTAGAGGTCCAGTCTTGACGGAAGACACGGCTCTGGAGTTCCATGCGCTGAAAGGTCTACCTGGCCCATACATGTAATGTCTTCAGTGCCTGAAAAGGCTTAAGCGTGACATGCTGATGTATGACCAAGCAAATCGTTTCTTGACGCCCTGGGCCACGAAGGGTTGAACCGAATGCTTGACTCATTCGATTTAAAAACAGCAGAGGCCGTCTGTACCTTTGCGTTCTCTGAAGGCCCTGGGTCGGAACCTATCTTATTTCAGGGTAGAACCGAGGTAGGATTGAACTAAACCTGCCATCGGGATTTGCAACTGACGCCAGCTGTGAAGGGAGCTATTGTCCGCCCAAGAGGCCCCGCAAACTTTGGTAGGTGTACACAGGAACAGACAGGAACAGACAGTCTTTAATCTAATCACTTGTGATTAATTCATGCTTTTTTTCTAGGTTGGGATCCGATCTTCGAATACCAAGGCAAAACGTATGCCGAGATGGATAAAGACGAAAAGGTACCCTACGGAATTCCCTCCCCTCATTTTACTTCATTGGTCGCTAAATCTTGGTTAGAATCAAATCTCCCACAGATACAAAGCTCTAGTCAAACTGCAAGCCTGGCTAACCCGTGAAAGATCCTGATCTGATTCTTCCCAGCTGTGATGGAGCCTGTTTGAGGCGATTGAATTTGACTTTAACATGTCAGTAGTAGTCAGTCTGTATTTAGTGCCTGGCTGCTCTTCCAGGACTCTATCCAGCCAGAGATTCGTGCGCAATTGGATTCTACATCGTCATCCTTTTCACTATTTAACTCAACCACAATCTCTTCGTCGAATGATTCGCGGGCTTCCTCGAGAAGAACACCGAATATTTCCGCATCCAAATTTTCTTGCAGCTTTGCTTGCTTGTAGCCCCTGTGAAAAAATCGAATCATAGTCAGAAACTAGGCTTTCTGTATAAACGAGTTATTGAAGACTAAGGTTTGGAGGTACCTCGATGTTAGACGGTCATATAGAATGGACGTGGATGGGCAACGTAGAACCACCACGAGATCAACCCAGGACTTGGGGAAAAGATCACAGGCATGCCAATCAATCAAGTAGCCACCTCTCAGCAGTTCCTCTTCGACAGCATCCAGAAGCTGAAATTAAGATTGCTTAGTATGCCGCCAAGTATTGAACAGGCGTGAGATCATAAAAAGGACACAAGATATCGGGAACCTATATTGGACGCACTTTGTCTTCATCAACAACCCAGGTTTGCAATTCCTGGTCGTAGGTGTCGTAACAGCCCCGGTCTTTCGCGATCTGATTGATCGAAAGATGTCGCAAACCAGTCTCCTCGGCCAGCTGTGCACAGTGAACAGTTTTACCTACACCAGGCGTCCCTGTAATGACTATGTTCGGAGTTGTTCGCATGCTGAAACCTCGCTGTGCAGGTTTTAGCACTGAAGCCTGCTGCGGTGGTTGATAGTCATCGCAAGGCAAAATTTCTGGTGGCGGCTCAATTGGTTACTTTGCCTTGCGTCGCGGGGCACAATCGGAACAACCCACCAACCGATTTTAGCCGGGGGGTTCCCAACCGCCGGGTATGTAGTACTCTGTACGGAGTACTTGACAGTATTGCACCGGGGTGTGAACATCCTATTACACTACCATGTGCGGCAGCTTGACTAATATAATCATCTAGGAAAGAATGCTATCTGGTTTTAGAGATATTCGGTAGTCATGCTTCAAGTAACCGACAGGGTTGTAACGCATCACTGCTAGGGCGATTCAACCGTCTCTGCTGCCCCATTCTCTACGGGCGGAGCTACGCTTCAGAGAAGGTGAGACCGTGCTAGCTAAACCATTGATATTCTGTGATTGAACAGTCTACTCAGATTCGAGACCATCTCTATAGACCTCCGTGGTATATGGCGACCCTTTAAATTTGGCAGGTGACTTGGAGTCTAGGAGAACAAAACTGTTAGTTGGCATTTGTACCGATGGTAGAATGCTGTGACTTACTTGAGAAGTTCGAATGCGGTATATTTTTGTAGGTATGCCGTCCCTCGCCTGTATCCTTTGAGAATCCTGGCAGGGTCGGGGTTCAACCCTGGAGTGTCTTTTAGTCGCCTTATTGCAGGGGGCGCTTTGAACATCGGGTCGAAAACCAATAAGTTTGCGCTTCCATTATCACGAATTTCGAACCCAACAATTGTCATAGAGTGTCCTATATAGGGGCTCTCGCATGTCAGCTCTTGCGCTTGGGACGGAGAATAAGTGGCGGGGGGTGTCCAAACCCTGGTGCTGAAAATAGATGGGTGGTAAGTCGGTAGAAATGACCTTGTCTTCCCTCTCCAGGTTGCGTGAGTCCCGGAAATAGGAAGCAACGTTCATGAACAATGCATCATGGGCTCGCATGCTCTCCGTGGGTCCAATGCTGTTGGCTACGCAGCTATAACTAGTCAGTTTCTTGTATCTGAGGCGTTGGTGAGATGGGCTGACAACTTACAGTATTCCGAGACTTGAAAACAGCGCTTGAGCCTGTGCAATAAAACATCAACCGGACTTTCTTCTTCCCGGATGTGGGAGCTGAAGCAGAAACGTATTACCTCAGGTGTGCCAATATATTTTCTGGTCCCCCGAATGCCACCAGTTTCAATTCTTCCTACACTGTTGAATCCCTTGTCCCATGCATTCTCAATCATATCCTGGAGCTGAAGGATTGTAGGCAGTTCCCCAGAGAAGCACTCATACCCTAATAATCGAGCGTTTTTGATATAAGTGATTAGCATCTGGATATTCCTGTAGCCACAGAAGCCGCCTTCCCTAGGAAATTTTGAGATTTGGTGCACCATGGAGCTACAGAAGAAGGCACGCTGGACAGATTTATCACGATCACACAACCGGGCAAGCACAGAGATCACGCCCGTCAACTCGTTCTCAAAGGTTTCCGCCTTTCGAATTGCACCGTTAGAAGAAAGGGTGTTGGTCAAAATCGACTTGGGACCTTTTTCAAGCACTCTTCGCAACCACGCGGGCATTTGCTTTTCATTCGCATGGGGCCCTAATTCTGACCGCTATAGAATGGTCAGCGAGATACACCGCCCGTGAGACAGATGACCTGTCTCTAAGTATAATAAAGTAGAGAGCTGATAGGTTCAATACCCCAAGTCGTTTGATGCCTTCAGTAAGAACACAGTTCTCCAGTCCAGCTGCTGACACTGTGAGTGGTTCGGATCCTCTGAGAGAAAGCTTTGGGAGCGATGAAGTGCCAATGCATTGTTTGTGAGTAGTTCTAGCAGGCTCTGACAGTTCATTTGGCGGGCGAGTCGAGTCCTCCTCAAGGGCGATTTCTTCCGCAGCGTGTAGATCAAGGTGAGACGGCAACTCCGCTTCCATGACCGTCTCACCACAGCCGCAAGGGCAGTCGATGTACCCATCGGGTTGGCCGTCTTGAAAGCCCGGCAACGAGAATTGCTGCCGATGTTGCATCACGAGATGATGGTCTGCATACTGACGGTTCGCTCTATTACTGGCTCGTATGTCATTATCAGGGTGGCAAGATTCCACATGTTCCATAACAAAATTGCTGTCGGCATCAGAGAAGGGACAAAAGGGGCATGTCGGATCGCCATCAGTTGGGTGATCCATAGAGAGTCGAATTTCATGGAATAACACTGAAGAGGCGTTTGGCGTTTAGTCAAGGGAATCAAAATTAGGCCAAGGGCAATCTCCTAGCGAACGAGAACCGGAGAGTAATGTTACGCGTTATTAACTAAAGTTACAATTGCTGTCTGTGGGGCCCCGAGCGGACACTGATAAATATGAATTAACTACGGAATCTCGACAGGCTTGAAGCCCAGTGCCCGGCGTCCGGCGTCCGGCGTCCATATGCGCAAGATTATGAGACTGGTGAGGGACGACTACCTAGAGAGGTGTGGCGAATACGGAAAATTATCATTGGCAACCAAGATTTTCCAACCTGAGTCTTCAAGATTCACATTCAATTATGATTCCACGTGACATCACCCGCAAATTTAGGTGGGTCTGAGATATACTGGTACAGTACACAGTACTCCGTAGTATACTTCTAAAGGCGAGTAGCTTGATTAGATGACTAGCCTGATGGGTCCGAAAAGTAAACAAAGCTTCTGATGCATATACTGTTTGACTGATGCTAGTGCATCAAAGAGGGATTTGGAGACACGGTCAGAGCCAGTGAGCGACCGTGAGCTATTGTTTGGGACGATAGTCAATTCGAGGCTCAGAAAGACCTAAGTACATCCAGAGAACTGACAGAATACATTTGTAGCACTACATTTTAGTGAGGCAGATGACTGAGTCAGTTGGCTCTCTCTGCATACGTGGTTGATTGTCTACCTAGCCGTAGTTGAAGTTGAGTTACTTACTCATAGTCAAGTTGGTTGACTTATAACTTAGTCCACTGAGTAGTTAGTTATAGTTAACTAACTAAGCTCAAATGCCATGACTAATAAACATACTAAGCAATCAGACTTTTTCCCTCCGATATCGTGATCCGCACAATGGAAGGCGGAACAGCAAAAGGTAAAGAATGATTCGCTCACTTTTGTCAATGCTCTGCTCCGCTTTCGCAGACCCCGCCAGGTGCACATAAAAATGGCTGTCCCGCAACCGGAGCCGATCGCAAGGGCATGTTACTGACTTCTTGATTGCAAAGACCCCAAACCTGTTCTCCTAGTTTTCAGTATGAATGAACCGCTAGTCGTCGAGCAAGAGTCCTCATCCATGGTCAATATCGGCCTCCAGGGCTCTTCTGGCAGCAATTGGGTCGTGCAGAAGTTTGGTGGTACGAGCGTCGGCAAGTTCGCCTTGAATATTATCGACCAGGTCGTTCTGTAAGTGGCCTCAATCTCCTCCTGCCCAGTACAGAGCCCGCCATAGGGATGGATTAACCTCTTATATCCAGTCCAAGTCTTTCCGAGCATCGTGTTGCTGTAGTTTGCTCAGCGCGAAGCAGCTCGACCAAAGCTGCCGGTACCACCAACCGGTGAGTCATATTCCTCCCTGAGCAGCGATGGCAACCGCAATTGCCCAAAGTCTCCCATCGTTGTGCCCCCGGGGCAGTCTTCAAGTCTCACCAACCCAGAGTCTAATCAAGTACTTTATTGTCAGGTTACTCCGAGCAGCGCGGGATGCGGAAGACGCTCTATCTCAGCAATATGCCTCTCTTGTAGAGGCCGTTCGGTTGGAACATATTCAGGTAGTCGGAGATCAAATCCAGTCAAATACACTCAAGTTACGGCTGGTTTCTGAGATCAATGCGGAATGCGACCGAGTACTCAAAGTGTTGGAGGCTGCGCAAACACTTGGTGAGATTAGCGCAAGGTGCATCGACAAGGTGATTAGTACCGGGGAGAAGTTAAGTTGCAGACTTATGGCTGCTTTTCTCGAAGATAGGGGCGTCAGGTCGCAATATGTGGACCTGGCCGAGATTATCAATTTCCCCATTTCGAGCCAGGGCCTTGACCAAGAATTCTATAATAACCTAGCTGCTGCTCTCGGAAGAAAGATCGAAAGTTGTGAAGATAGGGTCCCTGTCGTTACCGGATTCTTTGGGACTGTACCTGGCGGTCTTCTTGATCAGATTGGACGGGGCTACACTGATCTCTGTGCTGCTCTTGTTGCTGTGGGCATAAACGCGAAGGAATTGCAGGTCTGGAAAGAAGTTGATGGCATCTTCACAGCCGACCCACGGAAGGTGCCAACCGCACGCCTGCTTTCTGCCATCACACCGGCAGAGGCAGCCGAGTTAACGTTCTATGGCTCTGAAGTGATTCACCCTTTTACCATGGAGCAAGTCATCCGTGCCAAAATCCCTATTCGCATAAAGAACGTCATGAACCCGCGGGGAGACGGTACTGTTATATTTCCCGACTCTTCCAGCGAGCTGGAGAAGACGACCCCCGGCCATGATCCAAGACTGTTTCGTACCCGCAGTCCCAGTCTTATGCAGCGGCCGAAGCGCCCCACGGCCGTGACAATAAAACACAAGATCCTCGTCATTAATGTACATTCGAACAAACGATCACTCTCTCATGGTTTCTTCGCAGGAATATTCTCTGTGCTTGATCGATGGAGGCTTTCTATCGATTTGATTTCGACGAGCGAGGTGCATGTTTCAATGGCCCTTCATTCCGAGATGCCCTTGCTGAATGGAACTGGGAGAGACGAATATCAGATCATAGACGATGACCTGAAGGGAGCCATCCAGGACCTTCAGAAGTATGGAACCGTCGATATCATACCAGAGATGGCAATTCTCAGTCTTGTGGGAAAGCAAATGAAGAACATGATTGGAGTTGCGGGACGGATGTTTTCGACTCTGGGCGAAAACAATGTTAATATCGAGATGATTTCTCAAGGTAAGTACCCTTAGACACTTTGCTACTGTCCAATAACTAATCAACACTGTGTCTCAAGGTGCAAGCGAGATCAATATTTCTTGCGTCATTGAGGAGAGAGACGCCGATCGCGCTTTAAACATAATTCACACCAGCATGTTCACCTTTTTAGACTAGACCAAAGCTTTGACGTATGTCTTTCTTCACTTGCTTCATTTGTACTTTCTGTAAAGTGCATCCTGGTCTCTGGCAGTGTAAGATATCCTTTGCAAATTTCGGTTCGTGAAAAGCTCGATTCTGGTCCACGCTGATCCTACTCCCAAGTCATGGCTGTTATCTGGGCCCCGACTTGCTTGTTGTTGCTGATTGCATGTGAATGTTATTGGTCACCTTGTTATCTTGGTTGCGTTTCTCCTCTGCGATCCCTCGATTCATGATGCTTTCCCCCGCCCCCTCTCATACTAGTCCTGTGTTCCTTGCCTTTGTGGTGTGCATGTGTCGGCGCTATGTATTACAAGAGTCTTTTCGGATGATCATGTTTCTACTGCATCTTGTCAAAACAGGACCGACAGAACCTTTAGATGATTACTAAATAGAACTATCATGTTTGTTTTCTTGTCTACTATAACATAGACTGAAGCTTGAAAGATGCGCCAGAGGTCTGTAGGTGTTCTGCTATAGAGCGGGATAAGTGCTCCATTGCCTATAAAACGTACGCACGGGGGGAAGGTCATTGAAATAACTCAGTGCGAATGAATTAAGAAACCATAGCCAAGGGCGTAGGCGACTCATTACACACAGCAGTATATATGTACATCTCACTAAATGAACCCAGAGACGGCTGGCCTCGGGTTGATGAAGATCTCAAACTGCAAAATTAATAAATGAAGAAGTCTGGTTCCTCAATAATGCGCCCTTACAGATGCATCGCCCTTGCACCCAAGGACTTAGGTGCAAGAAAACTCCCACAAATGCAGTAATATAGATCAGCCCAAGTGCGGAAGTGGAAGCACAGGGTGTTTTCATAGGACCACTCGTACACACAGGTCCATATATAATAAATACCTTACCTTAACGAGATCGACTGGAGTCATACAAGTATAAGTAAAGAAGGGATGGGACGCCGCTGGATCAAATCTTTAACACAACCATACTCATGCATGAGTACTGCAGACTGTACGTACGACACAGAACATCCTTACGTAGTCATGCAGGTACTGACCAAATTTCACATCTGAGCCAAGGCTAATCAATGTATCCGTACATGCCTCATGATGGGGCACATTGTTCGCGAGGGTCTACTAGTAGTTACTGTCTACTGTAAATTTTTACAGTACTGTATGTAATGAATGTATTCCCACTATAAGGTCCGGGCGTTTGGTACTTATCATGTACAGTAACTATGTAGCAAAAGATGTGGTACGTATACAATGTGAGTAACCGGACCTTGTGGGGGAGCATATTATAGAGCAGTACGAAGATGTAGCAGGGCACAGTGCTAGTAGGTATGTAATAAGTAATATGAGTACTCCGTACTCCGTACTCCGTAACTATAGCTTAAAACCTCAATTCAAATTCACTGGCAGTGGTCTATATTACTCTAATGATCTAATCGATTGAACTTAAGTGCAAGCGGGTGGCCCACCCCGTCACGATCTGCCGATTGCACAGCAAGTGATTGGAGGAGAGCTTGCTCCCTTCTGGCGGCAATGGAGCAAGGAGACCAATCAGTAATGTCCAATCCGTACATGTCTTGAGAGCCAAATTCAATGTGTATCGTCATGTGTGACAATACTGGAGCGCTGGATCCGGGTTATGAACATGTTCTCCGCTGGAAGAGACGCGTCTTCATCACGCGTCAAAACCATACCATACTACCTGACAGGACGCGCAGACTCCCTATCAACAGGTTTGGAGTCATGCTTGTCCTTCTTCCCTTTCATTCTTCAATCTGCTAAGAATTGCTATTCTCCAAATAACTCGCGCATATTCCACTTCTCCCCCCCCCCCCCCCCCCTTGCCTGGAGGGACCTACCTTACCAGGCAAAGGCATCTTGAACTTAGAGGTGAGAGCCGCTTTCCCGGGTACCACCTCCTCTTTTTCGATTTCCTACCGACCTAGTCTTCGTCACCTTGCAATATCTTCGAACCTACGAATTAAGTATCCTCCGCGTCGCTCTCATCCTTGCAGCATCTGGATCATTCACCAAGTAGAACAACAAGTGAAAAGGCATATTTTATCACTTGAGGCTATTGTGAAGCCAAAATATCAGTCGCAATCGCGTTTACCCTTCTCGCTGCACCTGATTTGTGCTTGATTATCGCCATATGCCACCTCTACTCCATGAGGTGGCCTGACTGTTAAGTCTCTTAGCACGGATCTCATCCTTCTTCAAGGCGTATGGGCGACGCCCTTGTCTTCTAGGCTTCATTTGGTCGCGATACAACTTGAATGTTAATTGCTTCCGTTATCGGTGCCCTATCGAAGCCCAACGTCTCTGATTCAAGTCCGTCACCATTAATTTATTCTCAGAGACCGCGACGTTTTTGGTGCTCATCAAGCTCCCATTCACTCTCCATAAAAAGTCGCGCTGGCCGCAAATATGAGCTCAACACACTCAGCGTCGACTGTTTCGGGGCCCTCACCACCCCTTCATGGCAGGGTCGTGTCCAAGCCACATCCTCACCTGGAGCCATCGCCTCTACCATTGCAGCCTGTTGAGAATGTTACCTCAACTCAAGTTCGTGAACTGTGTCCGATTCCTCCTGGCCCACGAAGATTGTCACCGACGAAAGCGTATCGAGGATCAGCTGCTTCAATCTCAGGCCGAGGGAAGTTGGGATTTGTCCCGATCACAGCTCCCCCTCCGCCAGCCTTCACGACCGATTCACCCACAAAGCGACCATCTGTTCCAGCGTTCAGTCTGATAACTGCTACTTCATCAATGCCGCAATCTGCCCTTTTCACAACCTTCCCATCAGTCAACCCTGGTAAACGGTCACATAAGGAAACTCATATATTAGATGATACTCCCAGTGACAGTTTTGCTGACTTCCCTGAGCCTACTTTAATGTCCAAGCATCCTATGAAAAGAACACTTTTAGACGCCGCCCCACTTAAGGAACGGGCAGCCAAAAAAATGAAGCGTGAAGACATTACTGCGATGCGACTCCCAGAACCATACGAGATGCCACTGATCGAAGATGACGGCACAAAACCACCGTACAGCTATGCAACCCTGATTGGAATGTCTATTTTACGTGCTCCTAACAGGAAGCTGACCCTTGCACAAATATACAAGTGGATATCTGACGCTTTCTCATACTACAAGAATAGTGATCCTGGATGGCAGAACAGCATTCGCCACAATCTCAGCCTTAACAAAGCATTCATTAAACAGGAGCGACCGAAAGATGATCCAGGCAAAGGCAATTATTGGGCTATAGAGCCTGGCATGGAGGCGCAATTTCTCAAAGACAAGCCCCTGCGCCGAGCGACAATGTCAAGTCTCCCGCTCCCGGCAGCTCCTTTTAGGGATCCGGCTTCCTCCCAGAGCTCAAGTACAACCACATGGGCTGTTCCTCCACCGACATTTACTACAACAGCGAAACCCTCGAAGACTGTGGATCTGTCATCTGACGCAACGCTTCCTGCTTCTGACCCCGCTCTCCAAGATGATACAGGCGACGAAAGTGTGAATTGCAATGTTTTGCAGCCTCCAGCTCCTCGTTCTTCTCCTCCCCAACCAATCCACTCGTCACCTCCTGTTATAGCACCTCGCTACTCCCGCCAAGGAACCCCTCCAACTCCTTCCCTTCACAATACATCTTCCAGCATTGTTCACATCAACAGCAAGCGCAAATCGCATGCTATAAATGATAGCGGTTACTTCTCGTCCTTGGAATCTTCTGCCATGCGACCAAACAAGGCCGGGCATATCCTGACCTCGGATTTGGAAATCGATCCCCCTCGCATCAAACGCGGTCGCGCAGAAGAAGAGATTGCCCGCATTCGAAGCTCGTCACATGACGTAAGCCCCAGTCATTGCGCATCGATGAAAGAGCCAGGGGTCATCGTGAATTCCTCTCCACTACGCGGTGAATATGTCAGCATGCTACCTCCTCCAATTACGCCCTTAATCAAGTTCAAGAAACCAGCAAAACCGCCGCCGTCCGTGTCGCCGAACACTAACCTTCGTAACCATCGAAAGAAAATTCAGCAGATGGTGAATTCTCCCATCAAACATCTGGGACTGACGGATGAGGACCTTCCATGGAGTCCTGCCTTCAACATTCAAGACGAGAGCTTTACACCAAGTGACAGTCCAAATACGAGCTTCGATGTTTTTGCAGATCCTGCTACAGACAACTTATCAAATGCGGCATATGGGTCTCCTGAGAAACGCTCGGCGAAGCGTACCCGAGTTAATCCCGGGGGATCCAGCAGTAGTATACTGGCTGATATTACAGCGGTGAGTGTTAACACTCGCACTGATGTGCCGTCGATTCCCTCCAACAAAAAAAGTCTTCTCTTCCCTGACTCCCCGTCCAAAGCCCCAGAATCAGGGCGCTACATCGACGCCACTCATGATGATTTCTTCGCATTCCATCTTTTCGATGAGAGTCCAGGAGAGGTTGATGGCGTCGACCTCTTGCAGGGATTTCAAAAAATTGGGGATGCAAGCAAGGAAGAGACTTCGCGTCTAAAATCATATGCACCGAGGCCGCGGTTTAATCATCGCAGCAACACGTCCTTGTTTTGACCTTGCACAAGATAGGCTTATATTGGAGAGTCGCCGAGTTGAAAAAAAAAAGTGCAATAGGCTCCAACTATGCCAAATTGCGTTGTATGTCACTATTCCAACGATGCGCGCCATCTAACCACTTTGGCTGGGATATTGTCATCCTACGGATGATGATATATTACGCGGACTAGGAACCAAAGTCTCCCTCCTTTATTGTTCTGATTCTGTTGATTTATCTATCCATGATTAAATCGGTGTTTCTGGCGTTCTTCGGACAAAGGGGATAATCATTGCGGCTGAGATGACCTTCTTATGACCTTTACGATGACATCTGATCAGATGTACATGAGCAACATTTTGTTTCACGAACTTTGAGGGTATTATTCTGATTTTGTATGTAAACAACACAAGTCAGTCTGTGGTTCCCAGTTAACAGTCATAATAATTATCCTACTCTATTGAAATTCTTGAACGTCTTGGATTTGGGTATCATAACGGTCGTAGCAGAGCCAACCAAACAAGGAAACATTGCCAAAATACAGCATCGATGACTTCCTTCAGGTCCAGGCAGATTAGACAGGAAAAGAGGAAAGACTACATCTCTAAAGACAGGCAACATATTAAACCTGCCCAAACGCCGTAGATGAGGCCCGTCCTGTCAGATTATTACCGCTTTAAATAAGTGGTTCGGAGCCGCGCGCGCGAAGATTGTTGTCCGACAATTGCCCCGCTGCCATAAGTCTAGTCACTGCTTGCACAGCCTCGACAGCCACAGCTTACACATTGAATCGTTTGGTCTTCCTTTAGTTGCGCTTTCGGTACCCGACAAATGCAGGTTGCATTGAAATTCGTTTCTTTTGTCTGTATGCAGCGGAGGCAACAGAGCTTAACCATACCAAGTCAGCAATGTGAACATGTTATTGCGATGCAGGCCGCATCGAAGGTAATAGGAAATATTAGGGAAAGACCTTTTCGTAGCCTTGCTTTTTCCACTTGGCAATCAAGTTTGAATCGGCATAGTTATTCTTGAGAAGCCACTCGTAGAGTTGTTTCGATATTGCTTCCTTCTCATAATACAGGTCGTATATATATCGAGATCCTAGGTTCATATCACTTAGCCACTAAAGATATATGTCGATTGCGGTCTTGAAGGCCGACTAATGCGAGGAGCTGTAAGTGGGGATAGCAGGACAAGGGGAATGCGCACTTTGATGACTTATCTGAAATATAGGCCACAGCATCTCATGCTTCTTCTTCCCGTCGTGTGATGCATTTTCTGCATCTTTCATCCTGTTGCTGAATTCGAGTAAGGTATCTTCAATATCATCGAAACCCGCCGGAGGTGGCTTGCGGGTACGTGAAGTTCGAATAGGAGGCATACTGGGAGGCACGGCGGAAATGCAGAAAGAGGCGGAGGTGTAAGAGATTGGTATATTACGTACGACAAGATAAGTAGATGATGTTCGACTTGTCGCGAAATTGCAGAGACAAGCCAACAGATGATTGATGCCTCGAACGGTCATAAGAAACGGTAGTCCTTTTTGCCATCTCACACCGCCATGTGACAGGTCTGAGGAAATGCTTGTGCGGGCTGACTTTGGTTACCAGGAAGAAAAGAGCCCAACCACCCGGTTAGACACCAGCTTCCCGGCACACATCTTCTTCCCAACAACTCTTTCCTCCTATTCTGTTGTTTCTCTGGCCAAGATAAAAAAAATCCACCATGGATACTCAAACGCAACTCGACATCGCCAAGCTCAATGATGCCGACAGAAAAGAATTGACCCAGTACCTCGCAAACGAGGCACAGAAATCCAACATCCAGCAAAGTAAGTTGAACAGGGAATAGTCATAGTGAACTGAGCGAGCGGGCTTTTTGAAGAATGTCGACTGATTGTCATTACTTCTGCAAGCTGTTCATGGCCTGGCCGATATCTGTTGGAAAAAGTGCATCACCGGAAAGATCTCGTCGGGCCGCCTAGATCACTCTGAGGAAGCCTGTGCGCAGAATTGCGTGGAACGATGGATGGATACGAACTTTGCTGTTTTGAAGCACCTCGAAACCCTGCGAGGACAATGAAAGCTTCGTGTTCGGTGTACTAATGTATACAACTGCCTTTCGAGCTCGCTCCATCTAGACAATATTGGTCTGCTGTGTTGGTTTTCCCAATTCTCCACTCACTTGGATCGAGACCTTTCTTTGACAGGAATCCAAAATTGCTATATCCAGGCCACACCAAGGAATTGAAAGCCTCAAGTAGACCTATATACACGCATATCGTACTCAACCAATCCCATGAATTAGTCCTGGACCCGAGAAGCGCCATGCTGTCTCATGTTCACATCCACCGGAATTTTACATTTAAAGGCTTCTCCACTAAGACGCGGGAGAGTATAACGGGGTATCATCCTGTGTCATCTATACTTCATTACTATATCGTGGGTTCGGGTAATGCTTTTCATTTTTTGATTTGATCATTGCATCCTCGTCGAAGCACAGGCAGTTAACTGTATATTTGATATTGATGAACCACCGCACAAAACTAAAAGAAAAACCCGTCCAGTCCCAGACAAACCCATCTAGACGATAGCAAGCTTGGTGGCAGCAATGTCCAGAGCGTCGACGTCGGGAGTAAGACGGGCGTAAGCCTTCTTGGAGCCGTCGGGTCTGGAGAAGTTAGATTTGTCACCGGTCATCTCTTCAAGTGCAGAGCGATTCACATACCTGACAAGAGTGTTGACCTTGACGGTATCGACGTCGTACAGCTGCTTGAGAGCAAGCTTGATCTGACGCTTGTTGGCCTTGACGTCCACGATGAACACAAGGGTGTTGTTCTCCTCGATCTTCTTCATGGCGCTCTCCGTGTTGAGGGGGAAGAGAACGACCTTGTGGGCATCGAGGCGGGGCGCGTGGGGGATCGACTTGCGAGGGTACTTGGGCGACCGGGAAAGCTGAAGGGTCTTGGGGCGGTGGAAGGTGGTCGAGGTGCGGACCTTGCGAGCCTTGTGCGCCTGGAAATCGAAAACGTTCAGCATCAAGATCATAGGTGGCTCGGGTGTCAAGGGAACATACACCTGCACCCTTCAGAACTGCCTTGGCAGCAGCACCAGCCTTGCTGCTGGGCTTGGTCTTGCCTGTACAATTCCACATGTCAGTCGCTGTGGTTCACTGAGAAAAATTGCTCATTTCGACGGCCGGCCCGCGAGACAGTCAAAACAGATGGCGCGAGTGCCAAATCAACGCTGAGTTCAATTTCGCCATGTTGCTCCTGCTTTGCTGTGCTGGGATGAAAATCACGTCGATTCCACAAAATTCCACCGGAATGTATCACTCGATGCGCGCAAATTCGGGATTCGGAAAAGGAGAATCTGCAGACTCAAACATCATGGGGTAGTCGCACGAAATTAACCTACCTTGCTTGTTTTCCACCTTAGGGGCCATGGCTGTCGTCCGGCGCTGTCGTGGTGATTGTCGCAGTGTCGAGAGTCGAATTATTTGGAAGGTATTCGCTTAGCGAAAACCCTACGGATGCTGTGTGGGTCACCTGACCTTCCCGCTCTCCAGGCTGCTCAAATATCTTGGCGCCCTCTGAAACAGGCTAGACTTAGCTAACCAGGTTATAACTGTCTCTAGTATCACGTGTGAATTGAGTGGCGAAGTTTACTGGTCTGGCCGACTCGCTCCGGCTCGATTAAATTCTACGTATCATGCTTCTACCTAAGCCAGGGCGTTAAGCGGTCAAGTTCTCCTACGTAGGCATCGCGTTCGCTCGTATATTGCTGTGGGATTCGAAGCGGAAATAGCGAAGCACCCTACCGCCATGATAAACTCCAAAAGACAAAGGCTCAAAAGGCCGACTCTTCTTTCTCGGACTCGCCCACCAACGATCAAGCCAGGCCACGCAAGCCTCTCGTCAAAAGCGACCCGAAACCTCATTCGCTCACATCACAGACTACTCAAAGCACGAACGCAGGCTTCGCAGACCGGCGATGCAGCCTCCGTGGCTAAAATTGATGCCCAGATCGAAGAAAACGGTGGTTTGGAAAGCTACCAACTTGCGAGCAAGCTGGGCCAGTCGTCCACTCGCGGTGGTGATTCCAGCAAACTTCTGGTTCACTGGCTAGCCCCACGACTACAGCCACTGGAAGGCAAACATTACAAATATCGTGTGCTCGAAGTTGGAGCGCTTAGCACCAAAAATGCCTGTTCCTTGAACCAATCGCTTGAAGTCACTAGGATCGATCTGAATTCCCAGGAGGCAGGCATTTCGAAGCAAGATTTTATGGAAAGGCCTCTTCCAGAACACGTGGGCGACCAATTTCATGTTATCAGTCTCTCTCTAGTCCTCAACTATGTACCGGATGCCCTCGTCAGAGGTGAAATGTTGAAGCGCTGCACATCTTTTCTGGTCAAATCGCCACCATCTGGTCTTTGTCAAGATGCATGCTCTTGCTTGTTTCTCGTTCTGCCAGCCGCCTGCGTTTATAATTCTCGCTACCTCACGGAAGCCCGGCTGTACGATATAATGTCAAGCATGGGGTTTATTCTGTCAAACAGCAAGAAAACTCATAAACTTATCTACCAACTCTGGGAATATACTGGTAATTCCAACCCCAGGTCTTTCGCCAAGGAAATGCTGAATCCTGGCAAGGTCAGGAACAATTTCGCCATCATTGTCAAATGACACATCCGTGGCATAAGGCATTAACGCAGAAGAATAAGGCATTCAGTGTCCGGAGCCTCACAATGCAGAAATGGTTTCCTGCGGTATAAAGGACCAGGCAGTCCCAATGAGCGCTAGTATCGAAGAAATGACTAGCAAAGACCAGTTCAGTAGTCGCTCTCGTGGGCTAATCTCTTTGCCGAAGATCTTCAAGTGAAATGCCAGCGGCAGGATAATGCATATTGTGAAGCACAGAGCCGAACCCATCAGCGCCATAATTCTGTCGAATGACGGGAAGAGAACTGCCATGCAAACAATAAGGACGATCACCGCTATACGTATCGCGGCTTTCGAAGCCTCGCGCAGCACAGATTTCATCGCTCCATGCTGGCTTGATTGTCCTTCCGGACGCGGAACAAGTCCACAAAGAACCTCGATGGTAGCCACGAGAGGCCGGCAGCTGCAACGCGTCAATCGAAAGAGCCCTTCTGCGAGGCGCGAGAAGAGTAAGCTAGATATGCTCAACACTTACTTTAAGGGTACCTTAGTAATTGGAATCGTCGCGATAAATACTATCATGCAAATAGATAAGGCACGTGGGAACTCATTTGTCAACAGAATGTTGGCAGTAATCTCATCCCGGACTGTGTCACCAAACATAAGCCAGCCCACAATGGCCATTGCACAATCGAGGGAATACTACAGCGAAACACGGTTGTTAATTCCAAAAGAGCTTTCAATGTTCTTCCCTTATTAATTGTCGTTAGCTTACCGTGAAGGAATACGTCACCACGAGACTCTTGCCGTACTTCTGCGGGTGTCTCATGTCCCGGTAGATATTTGGAAAGACACCATGACCGCCCCACGGTGCTATGAACCATTAGTTGCTCCCATGCATGTTCTAAATGCTCAAAACCAGACTTACACATTATCAGGCCAAAGCTGAGAGGAAGGGTTGCCCACTTATCCGGCAGCAGTGAAGTCCGGGCTGGTTGGAGCAGGGAACCCGGCGCTGTTGCTTTCAGCACCCCATCAATGCATATGATCAAGACAACTGCTCATGAGGTCAGTATGATATGTCATAAACCTATCAAGGTAGTAGACGTACTAGATGTGCAAGACAGAATGCCAAGAATACTTGTCACACTGAGAAGCCTCAAGGGTAAGAAGTTTAGAGGGATAAGCATGAGCCCACAAATAAATTTCCAATGGAGAATGCTGAGACCTGGCACTAGAGCTTGCAGGCTATCTGCAAAGAGTACAACAAGGGCAACACAAGCCCCTATGAGCTCCAAGCAGAACAACAGACTCGTGACTAAGCGCGCGTGATACCCAAAACTGATATAAGCTAGATCAGCGTAAGTGACAAGACTTCGGTCAACATCCAAGCACTTTGCCAGGATTTTCGCTGTATATGCTGTGGTAAATGCTGCCAAGAGTAAGAACGTCAGTCCTATAAGCCAACCCGCTTGTTTCATTGCCAACGGTAGGCTTAGAAGACCGATGCCGATTAATACGTTTACGGAATTGAAAATAGTTTGCGGAACAGTAGATTGCCCAACAACCACACATTCGCGTGTACCATTGTTGTGTTGGACTTGCTTGACAAGTAGTGACGCCCCTTCGGGTTCCACTGCGGTGTCACCGCGACTTTTTTGTTCCCTGTGAAGTTGGGCTGCATTCCTTCGCGCTGTTTGACTGATTCGCGAAGAAATTGTACCGTAGGATGTCCCAAGCAAGGGCTCACATCTGTCTGGACTCGTGCTCGGAACCCCCGAATAGACCTGTGTAGCAGTACTGCGGTTTTCCGCACCCCCGTCCGAGCTCAGTAAAGGCCGTGTAGAGCTCACCTCATGGTCGCGCTGATCGTACGACCTGGGAAGACTTGATCGTATAGTATCCCACTCTTCGTCTGCGTCAGCTGTCACGAAGGAGGGGCGACGAGGTAGAACCTCCGGGAAGCATGCGGCTCGCTGCCATGACCGTGCGAAGTTGTCGATGCTATTGACTCCGCCGGCTTGCCGAAAACGCGCGGAGAAGGAGGCCGATCTGGGTTGCTCATTTTAGAGGCTGTTGTTGGCCACCGTAGGAAGCGGGAGCCAAAGTTTACCTTGACCTGGGCATAAAATCCTCATCTTCCGGAGAGCTGCTGAAGCTATCGGTCTCAGATGGTGACGTTGAGGTTGACCTGCCATGAGCAGTGGGCCAATGGTGGCTCGAATCTCCAACCTCATCGTCATCCAACAAAGCGGGTTGTGACATTTTATTCTCGTATGCACTTCAACTTGGATTCTCGTGCTAGTCAGCAAGGTGATATCAGTGCGCTGTAACGGCAATTGCTGGACAGGAGCGTGAAGGAGGCGTGATAGAATATTGATGGCCGTCCAAGTCGGGACCAATAGCGGCGAACAACGATATGGAAGTGACAAGCCAAAGAGGTGGAGGAAAGAGAGAAGGAAAAGTAGAACGGAAGCAGTGCCCACAGACGCCTTGACTTGTTTTGGGTGGAGTGACTTAGTCGGGGCCGACGACTACTTATCAAGACGAGAACAAGGAAGGTGGGAGACCATTCTAGAGTCTGTGTACACAGGCCAGGGTCGTGACCCTCTTATACGCACAATCGTTGAAGCTCATATCGAAATCGACGCAGTCTGGGACTGATAAGCATCAGACTAGAACTTTTTGCTCAAGCAAGGAAATGGCAAGTCAAATGAATGAGAAATACTCATTGATCAGAGAGAGCTCCTACCGGGGCTTGGGTGACGGAAGTGGAGAGTGGATTGGACGGACACCGGCTATCATGATGATAACAGCAATACTAGTCTAGTCCGTTTAGTCCAGAGTACCTTATCAATATTGATCGTCAGAAGCTGGTGGCTATACTAATACGTAAGCCCACAGAGTCATTTGTTGACTACTAGGTAGTTAGTCCGTCCGAAAAAGAGCGCGACTTGCACACCGCAGGTAATGGATTTTCTTGTCCTTGCTCCGTACTTTTCTTGAGATTCTAGTTAAGTAAAAGGTACAGTACCTGGTCCCTAGGGGCCTCTCCCATGGAATCGACTTGGCCTGGTTCAATTTATCATTCAGACACCCCAACTTGCTTCTTTGGCCCTGTGGACGGACTACTGCTGCTGCCACTTAACTACTACGACGACATACTACGACGACGACGACGACTACATGACCTTTTCATTTGTGTTTGAAGACATTCGCTCCGATCCACGCAAATCCAAAATCCAGTAGATACCTACCTAGGCCTTGCACCTATTTCTACAATGTTGGCTGTGCCCCCACTAAGTTCGTGCATTGTACTGTACAGTACGGTGCATACCACCCCCTCTGTAAGAGTCAAAGAGGTCTGTCTAGACACTCTTCAAATTGCTGCAAATCCACAAGCTCCAGGGATTAGCATGAGGTATAGACACTCTCTCAGTTAAGTTCAAATCGGGACAGGTTGTCTTAGCCGCACTATGAAGGGTAATACACGGCGCAGTGCCTACCATATCCTCATAGAGAAGTTCGTGGCTACTGCCGGTGTACTGTTATGTACAATACATACATGCACTCCTTGTGGGAAATAGACGCTTATGTCATCGCCAACAGGCGACTTGCCGACCCATTTCAATCCATTCCCGCCCCTCCACGGTGCCTGATGAAATTTGCTTAACACCCCGCTGGACTCGGAAGGCACATAGACCAGCTTTAGAGGTACGTATGCGCTTTTTAACCCCTCCCATCCTTTCGCCGGTCGCTGTTAAACCTCACACCCCCGGAATTTGCCTGCTCGCAATCTCCTTTTTCTTCACTTTATTCTGTCCCTATCTTAATCCCGCGATCAGCTTCGCTGATAGTACAATCAGCATTCACCAGCTTTGCCTCAACCTTTTCCTGGTCGTGTACTACTGTCGCCTCGCCAACATGAGTGCGGCTCAGCCGAACGAAGCGGAGAAGAACATTGAGATATGGAAGGTCAAGAAGCTCATCAAGCGCCTGGAGATGGCTCGAGGGAATGGAACCTCGATGATCTCTCTAATTATTCGTATGTCCTCCATTTTGGATACTTGACCGTGGTTGCCACACTAATTCCAAGCCGCTCGCAGCCCCGAAGGATCAGATCTCTAGAGCCGCGAAGATGTTGGCCGAAGAATTTGTGAGAGAAGAACTTAATAGGTGATTTGATATGGTGTAGTGCTAATGCGGTACGTCTTGCAGGGCACTGCTTCAAACATCAAATCCCGCGTCAATCGACTTTCTGTCCTTTCCGCCATTACATCCACTCAGCAGCGTCTCAAGCTGTACAACAAAGTTCCTCCCAATGGCTTGGTCGTCTACTGCGGTGAAATTATCACATCTGAGGGCAAGGAGCGCAAAATTAACATTGACTTTGAGCCTTTCAAGCCGATCAATACTTCGCTTTACCTCTGTGACAACAAATTTCACACGGAAGCGCTCAGTGAGCTGTTGGAGTCGGATCAGAAGTTCGGTTTCATTGTCATGGATGGAAACGGCGCGCTTTTTGGCACACTAAGCGGCAATACCCGAGAAATCCTCCAGAAGCTGAGCGTCGATCTGCCAAAGAAGCACGGCCGTGGTGGTCAGTCAGCCTTGCGTTTTGCTCGTCTTCGTGAGGAGAAGCGTCACAATTATGTGCGCAAGATCGCCGAGTTGGCCGTGCAGAACTATATCACCAATGACAAGGTCAATGTTGCTGGCTTAATCTTGGCTGGTTCGGCTGACTTCAAGAACGATTTGAATCAATCTGATATGTTCGACCAGCGATTACAAGCCAAGGTCATCAAGGTTGTTGACGTTTCGTACGGTGGTGAGAACGGCTTCAACCAGGCTATAGAACTTGCCGCAGAGACTTTGAGCAACGTCAAATTCGTCCAGGAAAAGAAGCTTATTGGAAAGTACTTCGAGGAGATCAGCCAGGACACCGGGAAGGTCTGCTACGGTATCGATGACACTCTTAAAGCCCTGGAACTCGGCGCAGCGGAAACCCTCATTGTGTATGAGAATCTCGATATCACTCGATGGGTTCTCAAAAGTTCTAGCGGCTCGGACGTTGTTGTCCATACCTCGAAGGCCCAGGAAGCCAATCGTGAGATGTTCACTGATAAGGAGACTGGGACTGAGATGGAAGTCAGTGAGCAAACTTCATTCCTTGAATGGCTCGCGGAAAATTACAAGGACTTCGGTGCAGCCCTTGAGTTCGTCTCCGATAAATCAACCGAAGGAAATCAATTCGTGAAGGGTTTCGGTGGAATTGGCGCGATGCTTCGATACAAGGTCAACTTCGAACAACTTGCTGATTTTGAAGATGAGGATGAATTCTACGACGGTTTGTATACTACGCCTATTACTCGGTTCACGTTACTAATGCCTTCCCACTACAGATTGACGGTTTAGCAACCTCGCAGAGAGCGAGGATGCACGCCCAGAAGCTCTCGAACCTGATCTTCTGACGGCTCGCCCCGTGATTCGTGAAGGCGGCTCCTACGGCAACCGCATGGCTCTAGTAGCATTTACCATGACATTGCCTGTGCAAGTATCTTGAAGCTGCCCATAGGTATGTTTCGTCATCTCTTAAACATAAATAGTCTTTGACACTTTGATCGTCAGCAGGGCCATCCAAGCTCCGCATTATAACAACCCATGTTATTCGGGCAGTCTTCGATGCCGCCAGGCCTGACCACTGGAAAACAATGATGGCTATCCTATCGCCTCTGGCGATGCTCACCGATGACTGCCGAGCTTATAACTGATGGGCTTGTGCGTTTAGACTGTTGCTTTCTATGTATCGGAGTTGCTCTCATTTATACTTATACTCTACTTTCTTTCACTTTACTATCTCGTGAACCCTACATTCTCCAGAAATTTAGGAATCAAGCTATTATCATACCTGCCTAGCACGTCCTACAAACACATGTAGATGTGATTTGGCTTGATAACTATCATTGCAAAATAAGGTCTCCCCGAGGATAAGAATACTGCAAAGATGTTACTAAGCTGGGCCCACTTGGAAAGACAAACCTCAAAATCTTACCTATACTGCTTCATCTTCGAAGCTTGGTACAAGCTGGTCTGTCCAGGTGCCCAGGTATCGGCAGTATTCGGTGACTTGTTTTAATCCATGTAGTATTCCTGAGACTGCGTCTGCGTTCAGACTGGTAGGGGTCAAGTGTCCTTCAACCAGAAACATATACTTCCATGCCTTGACCTGGCTAGGTCGTGAATTGATGCTTGTCAAGTTCATGCCATGGGTCTTGAATATCAGAAGAGCATCTGCCAAAGCGCCTGCGCGGTCCTGGGGCACCATAAACGAAATCAATGTCTTCTTCTGTGCCGTACCACTAGGCGTCCCAGAGACCTTGATATGCTCGAAATCCACAGCAGCGGGGCGATCGGCCTGTGCTTTCATAAGCACCAGGAAGCGTGTGGTGTTGTTTGCATTATCCTCGATATTTTCTGCAAGAATATCGAGACCATGATATTCTGCGGCAAAGCGACTGGCTATCGCAGCAGTCGGCTCACTTCTGTCTTTCGAGACAATTTCCGCCCCTTTAGAAGTGGACGACACATCCTGTCGTTCGACACCTTTAAGATTTTTCTCAAGAAAGACATCGCACTGACCCCAAGCCTGCGGGTGGGTGTACAGTCTGCTGATGGAGCCATAGTCCTGCTGGTCTGGAAGAAAGTCACCTTTGCGAGTCAACAGACAGTGATGAATGGTCAAATAATGCTCCCCGCACACTTTCACATTGCCATAAAGGCCATTGGGATCTGCTAGAAGGTCTAGCGTCTGGACGACAGATCCATTAGTAGAGTTTTCGCAAGGGATGATGGCGTAGTCTGCTTTCTCTTCCTGCACCGCGGCAAAAGCATCCGCGAACGACACGCACGGTAGCAGATCGGCCGAGGATCCAAAGGTTTCAACAGCAGCCTAAAGTCTCCGATACTCAGAACAGCACTCGAATGGGGAGTGGGGTAATAGCTGGTGCTTCTGACCTGATGGGAGAAGGAGGCTATAGGGCCCAGGAACGTGACTCTGATAGGCTGCTCCATTGCTCCGGTTGCTGTGCTTTGAGTTGTATGATTCGGGGGCCTTCTGCCAAGCAGCGCTGGACTTCTGCAGCGGCGGCTGACATAACATGTCTAGGTTAACTAACTAACATAGTTAACTCCGTAACTGAGCTTGACTCAACTATTCATTAAATCGACAGGCCCTCCGCCCTCTCGAACCCTTTTTTTTCTCCCGTTTCCTCTCCGTTTACCCACGCATGCTGGGTCTGGTGACGCCCTCGATGAGGAGGCACCTCCTCCGCTTCGGAAAGCAAGGACCGCCCGCAGCAACTTGTCGACAGCACTCCTCATTGAGCGAGCGTCTGCATCGGAAACTGACTGCGCATTCATTGCCCCTCACATTTGATTATATTCACCCTCAGCAATCCTTCCTCCTGAATCGGACATTGGTCGATCTCCTTCCCCAGTCAGGCGCGCCGTCGGAGGTTTTCCCTTCCATTAGAAGCCCAATCCGCCTGCCTCCTGGCCATCATCTTGTCTATTTCCCTCCCCAGGTCTCTTTGTCCCAGCTATTGCCGGATGGCACAGACTTCCTGCATTCTCCAGGATATCCTTTTACCAGGCGATTATGGGCTGGCGGTAGTGTCCAGTTCGCAGCTACGGGTGGTTTACTCCTCGATGGCTGCCGGGCTGTCTGCATTGAAACAATTCGAGATGTACTTGTGAGAGGCCAAACTGGTGAGGAGAAAGTGATTGTCAGGATAGAAAGACGAATCGGTAAAATTCGAGAGGGAGAAAATCATAGCCAGATTCGTGATCGAATCTGGAAAGTGGAGGAGGCTGATCTAGGCCATTCTTCCATAATTGAGCATCGGCACCTGATCTTCATGCGCGATAGGACGCCAGAGCAGCTTACCGGTGACAGGGTCAATTTCCAAGAACCTTCCAGGACCATAAAATGTGCGCGAGGAACCGATAATGCGCTAATGCCTTGCCCCTGCTGACAGTGTTTCTCGTGGCTCGAAGCCCCTACAGGTTCTCACTTCCGCCATTCCCTGACACCAACTCGAGCACTGCTTTTTCGTTTCTCGGCGCTCACTTTCAATGCCCACTCAATACATCTCGATCAGACGTACACCCGGGATCAAGAGGGCTACAAGGATTTGCTTGTTCATGGGCCTTTGACATTAATGTTACTCCTCTCAGTCGCCCAGATTCATATGTCTGACCTGGGTTTCGCCATCAGGGAAATCAATTACAGGAATCTTGCTCCTCTTTTTGTTGGGGAGGAACTAACTATTTGTGGTAAACCCAAGGCAGGGAGCCATGGAGTCTGGGACATGTGGATTGAGGACAGAGACGGAGGACTAGCCGTGCGGGGCACTGTTCAAGGCAGTCCTTTGTAGCCGATGTGGTAGCATCTTCACCTGCTCTGGCTATCTCACGTTATCATCGCTTGCCCAGACACTCATGAAGTAACTAATGTATCTTAAGGCAGAAGCAGCTTCAAATCTGACCATAGCAGGCTTACCGAGGCAATTTATGGTCGCCCTCGGTCGACTGTTCAATGTCGAAGGTCAGCTCTGGTTTGATTTGGCTAGTATCGATTTTTTTCTTGTTTCAGGTATCACGACCAACTTCGAAGTGGCTTTTCCTCAACTTGATATTCAGTGAACCTATTTCTGTCGGGCCTTTCATAATAGGACTCATGGATCGAAGCCGGAGATCGTGCCTGGGGGTGAAGTGTAACAGAACATCTGGGATCTATGAGTGTTTACCTTTATCAGGGCTCCTCTCCAATGCCTCAGGGAAAATGATGGTTAAGTGTGTCCTTGACACATATCAAGAACGATGTCTGGAACTTGGCATGCATTGAGACCTGGGCAACGCTGCCGTCACGAGCATTACCTCGCTATAAGCGCCCCATGTGACTATTTTAAGTGTAATTAGTGGCAACCTCCTATATATATCCTAATGGATTTTATGCTACGCTTGAGTTATCTCTTCCTCTGCAGTAGACCTGGCAACGAAAATACGACGTGCTTGGGTCAAACTTCTAGGCAGCCTAATTGTGTAACCTTGATGTTATCTCTGACCAGATGTCGAGCTATCTGCTAGTTCAACTACTCTCTCCTCTCTTCCATGTGTCTTTTCTCTTTCTCCTTCCCTTCCATATGTAGACAATGGGGTTTTGTACAGTTCACACCCTTACCGCCCTTCGCACGTACCGCCGCAGCCTATCAACACATTCAATGATCCGATAACTTAATAGCAATCGACACCGGTATATCTACGAAGGTGTGTCCCAAAAGTTATTGAACTGCGCTAATTGTCTCGATGTAAACTGGGTGTAATTTTATCTTATGTAATATAAGTATGGCCTAAAGAAGTAAATCATGAAGCTAGATGTAGTAAATATTGCTCTAAAAAATGTGACTTGTAAGATTGAATATAGTAACTACTACTATATTAAGTCTAGTCGAGAATATATTAAAAAGTTTTTATTTATCTAAGTATTAGTACTGCGAAGCTATTCCTAAGCAGTACAACTTATAATATATTATATTAACAAGTCAATACATATATTTCAGCTAAGAAGACTAGTGCGGTTCAATAACTTTTGGGACACACCTCCGTATTGCTACTGGGATTTATTCTGAAACACAAGTCCCTACAGGAAGATTCTTCTTATATTAAGGTTATATTAGAGATTCCTAGGGCTGTAAGAGGCCGAAGGTACTGCTACTAGGGTTTTTATTGAGGACATTTCTTATCCTTTTTATTAGAATTAACAAGATCTGTATTGATATTAGAGTATTTTATTCTGTATTAGAATATTACTATCCAGAGAATAAAAGATTCATGAGGCTTAAGTTACCGACTACTATTGAGAGTTTAGTTGCATACTTACAGCCGGTGTCAATAGCAGTTATCCGATAATCCCCCGCTTACACTTGTAACTTGGAATTAATGAGACTACTGTGTAATACGGAATACAGTGGGAAGAAAGCAGGCAAATTACTATGAAGTACGCGGCGGAGTAACTTAAATTTTCAAGCTGACAAAGCAGAGTGTTGCAAACTACTTTCGCAGGTCCAACTGATCTCGTTTACCGGAACGGAAAATTAATCACCGAGCCAAGCTAACAAGTTCCACACAACACTCCCCCCTTCATTTCAGCTACCTATAAGAACCCCTTCTTAACCTAATTGCGGTCTGTTTCTTTCCCTACCTGACAGTTGATCCAGTGTCAAACAGAAGACATTCTTATGTGAATGTTAAGAATAGCGCCTTGCAAAACACAAAGAAATATCTGCGGCTGTCTAGTCCCAGACTGAATGACTACATTATGGATCAATTTTGGTCTGCACCTCCTGTTATAAGGTATGTCCCAAGTGAATTTGGGGTTTATACTCACCTTGTGGCCCTGGACAAGGACTAATAATGCAACCAGGACTCTCTCTGCACTTACATTTGCACAGTCTGCTTTGATACATGGTGGATTATTAAATGGCTATTATTGCCTGTTCGAGTCCCGCCTTGTATTCAAATTTCTCCCAGAGATCTGGAGACTCTTCACCTCATTCATGATCACGCGACCACGCCTTTCCCTATTCCTGGATGTTTACTTCAGTACGGTGCCGTCCTGGATCGGACTCAAAGGCGTGCTAACATGCCGTTAGTGTACACTTACGGTAGCTCCCTGGAAACTAGATCACCTAGGTTGTCCGGTCCAGGTGACTTCTTCGTGTATACGATCTTTGTAGCCTCCGTCATAATGGTAAGTCAAGGGCGTCAGTTGTTTTTGTCAAGATGGCTTGTCCACTTGCTGCCTTCCGGATTTTCCGGGCCTCTCAAACCACCCTGCTCTTTCCCAACCTTCACCATACCCAAACCAAAAACAAACCTCGCATATCTGCCCGCCCAGCGCATTCTAGCTGAAGCGGTTCCTGGAAACGAGGAAGATCACCCCTGCATCCGTATAGTGCCTACCTCATCGATCCTTTCAGGGCTATATTTGTTGCAGGCATGGTGGGACGACCAGTGAGATAGCTAGCGTGATGCAATGGTTTACGCTGGTGGTTATGGTGCCCTACATTCTGCTATATACCTTATCAAAATTTTTGTTCACCAGATTTTGTTTCTTCGTTCCGCTTTATGTAGCCACATCAATTATCCTCCTGTACTAACAAGCCCAAGCTCACTGCAGGCTGTTTGTTGGGAAGCGTAACTTTTACCTCTGGTGAGCCCGTTGTAGCACCGAGCATGCGTGTATTTACTGATCATACTTCTAGCTCTGATCATGGCCTTCGTTTACACCTTTTCCCAGGAAAATCGTGGTAGAAAGGCGACATTCTTTGTGGTCCAGATACCGGTGGAATTTCTGCCTTGGGCGATGCTTGCATTCACCTTGGTCACTATTGGATGGCCAGCCGTTCTAAGCGATGGCACGGGCATAGTCGCTGCGCATCTGTATGATTTCCTTACCCGTATCTATCCGGCGTTTGGAGGTGGACAAAACTACCTTGTCACGCCGGCATTCATCAGGAGATTCTTTTCCGATCTCACGCCCCGTGGCGATAACCGTACCTACGGTACTGCTTTTCGGCCAGCGGATCAGACCCAGGCCGCCGCTTCTGAAAGCTGGACTTCCGCGTTCCAGGGGCCATGGAATCGAAGAGGTCCGGGCAGACGACTTGGAAGTGACTGAGACGAGGTCGTAACTACCTAGGAGGGTGCAGAAGCAAAAAAGGGAACATGCAGCAACGGTACGCTAGCAGCAGGAGTTAAGAGTACCCTGAAATACAAGGAGCCGTTCACAAAGGGTTCGCAGTTGCTGCGGCTGGAATTGATTCCTGAAGAGAAAGAAAGGCGCTCGTCAAGCAGGTCTGGGGCGGCCAAGCGACAAATAATCGCTAGCATGCTACTTATTCTTTAGCTGTGAGGATTAGCAGTCGGGAGCGTACTGTACAGTAATAGATAATATTGTCTTGGAACTCCATCAGAGACAATATTAATATTCATTATCAAAGAAATTCCACCTACGAGCCTGTTGTATCATGGAGAAAAGTCTAGGTCACGGGACATCGAGCCGGAGGGCGAAATTTCTGCGCTAACGGTATTGGTCGCTCCAGCCTTTGCCGCACTTCTAAAAATTCCCAGACTTTCTTCCTCGCTAGTGCCAGAGCAAAAACCTTAGCTCGGGAAGTGCAATTTTTCCTGCGCCATCTTCCCAACGCGCGCACTTACTTGGCTATCTCAACACCCTTCAGGCCAGACTGTTCACAATGGCGGTTGCAGTGGCTAAGGACGAGATGGACTACACGATTAAGCCAGAGGCTAGTGCCTCCAACATCGATACCTCGGAGTGGCCGCTTCTACTGAAGAATTATGACAAGCGTACGTTCACTTCAAACTTGTGAATATCCAGTCCTATGTAGCCCGTGCTGATTTTGCCATGTCAGTTCTTGTCAGAACCGGTCACTTCACCCCAATTCCTGCAGGCTGCTCTCCTCTCAAGCGTGACCTAAAGTCGTACATCAATTCCGGTGTTATTAACCTCGACAAGCCTTCCAACCCTTCTAGTCATGAGGTTGTTGCTTGGATGAAGCGGATCTTAAGGTATTATTACTCGCCTTGCATGACCAGTCGATTCTAAGATACTGAGACTTTTTATTACAAAGAGCGGAGAAAACTGGCCACAGCGGAACTCTCGATCCTAAGGTCACCGGTTGCTTGATCGTCTGTATTGACCGTGCCACTCGCTTGGTCAAGTCCCAGCAAGGTGCAGGAAAGGAATATGTCTGTGTAATTCGTCTTCACGATAAAATCCCTGGCGGCGAGGCCCAGTTCAAGAGGGCACTCGAGACGTTGACTGGCGCACTTTTCCAGCGCCCACCTTTGATTTCTGCTGTCAAGCGTCAACTCCGCATTCGAACAATCCATGAGAGCAAGCTTTATGAGTTCGATAACGATAGACACCTTGGTGTCTTCTGGGTCAGCTGTGAGGCTGGAACATACATCCGGACCCTTTGTGTCCACCTCGGTCTCCTTCTTGGAGTCGGAGCACACATGCAGGAGCTACGACGTGTGCGCAGTGGTGCCATGGATGAGAACAGCGGTATGGTGACTTTGCACGATGTCCTAGACGCGCAGTGGATGTATGACAATCAGCGCGATGAGTCTTATCTGCGCAGGGTTATCAGGCCTCTTGAGACTCTCCTTACGACATACAAGCGTATCGTTGTCAAAGACAGTGCCGTCAATGCTGTCTGCTATGGCGCCAAGCTCATGGTTCCTGGCCTCCTCCGCTTTGGTAAGTGGAGCCTAACGCAATCACGAGTGCAGCAGTGGCTAATGTACGCAAAGAGGCCGGTATAGATGTCAACGAGGAGGTGGTACTCATGACTACCAAGGGTGAGGCCATCGCTATTGGTATTGCTCAAATGTCTACTGTTGAGTTGTCTACCTGCGATCACGGTGTCGTGGCCAAGGTCAAGCGGTGCATCATGGAGCGCGACCTTTACCCTCGCAGATGGGGTCTGGGACCTGTGGCTCTGGAAAAGAAGAAGCTTAAGTCAGCTGGAAAGCTGGACGTAAGTCTACGATGCCCAATTCACCAATTATTTGACTGTTCTGACTTGGCATGTAGAAATATGGTCGTGCCAACGAGGCTACCCCCGCCAAGTGGAAGAGTGACTATAAAGACTATAGTGCCCCCGAGGAAACCGTCAGTCAGCCTGCCACTGAGTCCGCCACAAATGAGAATGCGGCTTCTGCCGAAGAGCCATCATCTCCCCAGACGAAGATGGAGGTTGATGAAGACAATGACGAAGAGAAGAAACGCAAACGGCATGAGGGTGAGACTGCTGAGGAACGCGCTGAGCGTAAGCGCAAGAAGAAGGAGAAGAAGGAGAAGAAGGAGCGAAGAAAGTCCAAGTCGAAGGAAGAGAGTGATGACAGTGACTAGTCACCTCCGGGAATTACATGGGCCTGACTTGAGAGCAAAAGTTTTCCGGATGAGAATTCCCCTTCTGTTCGGAGCCTCCCCTAGGCAGGAATCCTGTAACATACTTGTTTCTTTGTATCGGAGTCCTGGGTTTGAAAAGGTTATCAATCATCAAATACATGTTTATTTGTCTTAGTTATATGTCCTAGGTTTTCTTTCAGTTATAGCATTTCATTGAAGAACATTACTTCATTTTAGTTATGCCGACTTGGTTTTGCAAAAGGGTATCGTGACTTGGGCGGTGTCTCTGCCTTTCCCCACGGCCGCCCCTCTCATACCACTTTGAGGACTTTCTCTACCACCCACTCCTATTGTCTCCAGCTTCCTTTGATCACCCCCTCTCCCTTCTTCTTCTTCTTCTTCTTCTTCTTCTTCTTCTTTTTCTCGGGGACCAAAAACAAGCCAGGTTCTATAACACGTGTCTGAAGTAGCAAAGACTTCTTTCGTCTCTGGTGCGGCCTCTGCGACGTCATGGCGGCGGAGCTTACTTCAACCCGGCTCAATGCGGAGAATCATTTGCTCTTGGTAACTGACAGTCGTCTACAATTTGCCAGTGCCGTCTTGGTTTTAACATCTCTTTATGTCACAGGACCAATCCCTCCTTCGTCTTCCCCATGAACTTGCACGTCGAAACTTTAAGTCTTTTCAACGGCTCGTTGAACGGGAGAGGGAACTTGTTCTTCCCGGACTCAAAGAAATCGCTAATGCCTCAATGTCGAATTCTCGAGCGCCCGACCAAGCCATCGCTGCCCTCGACGCTATGATATCCCGGATGCAAGGAATGAAGCGCAAGATGGAGAATCTGCACCAGGAAGAGAAAAGTATTCATGAGCAGTCCCGAAAACGCATTCAGCACCTTGAAAGTCTTCAGCAAATCCCGAGTTTGGCAGACGTCAAGTACGACCAGTGGTCGCGAATCAGGTTGAATAGGCTCATTGTCGATCACATGCTGCGCTCTGGCTATATAGAAAGTGCACGTCAGCTAGCTCATGAGAAGGGAATTGAGGGACTAGTGGATCTTAACGTGTTTGTACAGTGTCAACGTATTGCTGATAGCCTGCGTCAAGGTGAGACAAAGGATGCTCTCCAATGGTGCGGTGAAAACAAGGCGGCATTGAAGAAGAGCCAGGTTTGTGGACATGTCTCATTTTCACTCTTGTGCTCATATGACTCGAAGGGTTAACATCAAATCATAGTATAATCTCGAATTTGAACTCCGACTGCAACAATACATTGAATTGATCAGGAGTGGGGACAGGAAAAGATATGTTGAGGCAATGATGCATGCTAAGAAGTACCTCGCCCCGTATATAGAGACGCAATCCGCCGACATACACAGGGCCGCAGGACTACTTGCTTTTCCGCAAGATACTAAAGCTGAACCTTATAAGGTAAAGAAAGAGCTCGTTATTAGCGAAACACGGTCGCTCAACTAACAAATGTGAAGTCTTTATACTCTCTTGATAGATGGAGCCGTCTTTCCGAGCTATTCATTCGCACTCATCATGAGCTATTGTCACTATCATCCCGCCCTCTGCTTCATATTGCACTATCAGCAGGCTTATCAGCTTTAAAGACGCCCTCGTGTCACTCAGCCTACACTTCTTCAAGTTCCAATTCTCTCTCTACTACAACATCCGTCTGCCCCATTTGCTCTACCGAGCTCAACGAACTTGCCCGTAATATGCCTTATGCTCACCATACGAAGAGCTACGTCGAAAGCGATCCGATAGTTCTACCCAACGGCAGAATTTATGGCCAGCAGCGGCTGATGGAGTTGAGCAAGAATGTCGGTTGTGTTGACTCGGGAAAGGTCAAAGATCCAACCACCGGCGAGATTTTTGATGAAGGTGAAATGAAGAAGGTATACATTATGTGAAGACATCAATGCTCGATGCCGGATTCTTCAAATGATCGAAGCTCTTCTTGACATTCCCGTGTGATCTTCTCGACTCGATTCATTCGTATACATATCTAGGTTTAGTTATGGGATTTGGTCGTGTTCTTAATCACTGTCACTATCGAAAGCTTCTCTCGTTCGTTTTTTCCTCGCGCCATGATTAGCTTTGGTCGATAGTGCATTCTTCCCAGGCACTGGTTGGTCATCTCTCCTAAGCTCGAATACATATGTTCTTGCATCCCTATCCTCACCTCGCCATCCGCCTCTGCCTCCACGTTTCCCCTCGATCTCGCCCAGTGTCCGTGCATGCGAATAGCCTTGATAGCAAGCCCACGGGAACTTGAAGCTCGTGACCACTCGCAGGCCAGCATGCCGCGCAAGATCCTTGATGTTCCACAAGGTATAGGGTTCCCCCTCGAATATGGTCACTAGAATTCGACCCGGACCAGACGTATGCTGGTCTTCAGCCTGGCCGGCGGCCGTTATTGAACGTAATGGCTTATTAATTTCGGCGACATCGTCGTCATCATTCTGGCTGGTCTCCGAATCTGAACCTTCATAGTCCTCCCACTCATAACTTTCATCGTCATCCACCAGCCCTGTACTGGGCGATAGCAATGGGATGCAGGCCTTGAAGAAAGCTACCAAGAGTTCTTGGTTGGCACGAACCTGTCGATTGACATCGGTGGAGAGACCGCCGACGTGGGGAAAATTGAAGGAGATGATATCCCATTGCCCACCATCCGGGGCGGAAGCGAGAGCTACATTTCTCGCTTGTTGCCATGCCGGACGCCGACGCTCTCGCCGAGACCAGCCGTTGCGAACGTCCTTGCCGCCACCCGCAGGGAGACCCAGTTTCCGAGCATCGACGGAGAACAGGACCTTGGGAAGCTGACGTTTTGGACCAAGCGAAGGGTTCTTGTCTTCACTCAAGCTAGCTGGGCTGCTGAATGTTGTGAGAATGTCGTGGATATTGAGATCCACCTGGGGGTATTTGCGCTGAAGAGTCTCCTTGGAGTCATAACAAGTAGCCAGGACAGCCTTGCAGCGATACTGGCGGATCAGGGAGCGGGCAAAGGAAAAGTCGCCTAGAGAATTTTGATTAATATTTCCTGGAAGTAGATCAGGTGATGCCATGGCGAACAATGGGGAACCTCTGCCGCTTATAACCTGGAACCATACAGTCCATGATAGCAAGCATGTTTCAAGGACAAAGTAGCGCGAAAGTATTCTCGGGCGTGTCAAATCACACTACCCGCCTCAACCCTCCTTCGTGCCAGGTCATCAAGACGTTGCGGCCTAGCAAAAAAAAGATGCATTCCTGCAACGCCAGCTGTTTAAGCCTTGGAGACACTGGCATGATTGCAAGCAGGCAGCCTTAAGAATGGTCAAGGAAGGAAGGATATGGTGCAAGAGCAATGCGAGATGAACTAGCTGCAAACAACGAACTCACCTTCCCCGACCAACAAGATGCGATCTTTCTTCCCAAAGGGCACGATGGGTCGCCGATGCTGTTTTGGCTGTTGCGAGGTGATCGCTCCTGTTATAGTCTTTGAATCCTTGCCATCATGCTTAATTGCGGGGGGGCCAAGAGGAGGAGGAGTCGTTGTCGTCGTGGACAGTCGAGAAAATGTGTGCATTTTCCGGTGCTTTTTGGGCTGATGGGCTGCTGCCCCCGCGGCAACACCGGAGCCTTTCTGGAGGCGGCCCTTCTTGGCTTTGCCCATTGATTATCCAAACCAATAGAACAGAGAAAAAAAGAGAAAACGAAAGAAAAGCGAAGGAGACACAGAGAAAGACAGAGCTAAGTAGCCACAGAATGTAAAGTAGGGCAATTGATGAATTGATTCGCCGCTCTTGGTCAAGTCGGGATGTGGTTGACTATCAGGAGGTTAGGTATTTTATTGCCTGTATTTATGGTATAGCCACCGCCGTGTAAGTTTGACTGTGATCTTCCCCCCCCCTCAAACATGCATTTCTATACCAGGTGAGAAACATAAAAAGTCCCCTATTATCCAAGGTAGAACATTTAGCATGCGACATCAACTCTTCCGACAACTATACTATTTACCAGATCTATGACTTTATTAAAATGTGATATAGGACTTTCATATATACAGACTCAAGACACTAAGACTCATTGGTTCATTCACCCCCACCCCATGCTGCCTTCGCTTCCCATGGTGGACTTCGTGAAATCAACCCGTGTCAAAGGAAAAGACACGCCTTTAGCCATGCCCCATGCGGATGGAGGAGGAAATTCCGAGAGAAACGGAGATACAACACACTGGTCAAGAAAATGTTGTCGCATCCCCTGCGCACCCTGAAGGTGAAAATGTAAATGCTGGGGATGCCGACTAAAAGTCGAAGAATATTATGCAGCATAGAAATGAAGTTGAAGTGACTGAGTCAAGACGAAAAGGGGCTCTGAAGATGTTAAAACGCAACAATGAGCCTTGAGGGCCTCTTGCACCCACTGAATTAGCATGATTTCCTTGTTTCACTCAGTCTAATGATTTGTACATGCTGCACTGTGGAAGTATTACACAAACAGAGCACCGGTCCCGGTGGTCAGCTTGGCAACTCTATCCTAGAGCCAGAACGTTTGTGCTAACAAGCGTAACTCTATTTAAGACCGCAACGAATCTCTCATGCTCTGACTGCTGGCGCTCACGGGAGGATTAGCGGTGGGTAAAACGCCCGTTTTGGGCTTGGCGTTCTGCTTGATTTTGGCAATGGCATAGACAATACCACTGACGAAGCCCACGACAATAGCTGAAACACTGGGAAACGTGACTGGTGCATCGAAGAAGATCAATCCAGAAACCGCAATGGGCAGCTTGTTGAGAGCGCCAACCATGGAGTACGTCGTGGAAGAAGTCACACGAACGCACCATGCAGATGTGTATGAAATGAAGACCGTAGACAAGCCCGAGAGAATCATAGCGAAGATAATACTGTTACGGTCGACAGGGGGGAAATTGCGGTTGACGTTCATAGATGACCAATCCTCTAGCAAGCCGGAAAGTACGATCAACACAGGAATGGAGAGAAGGTTGTTATAGAACATGGCTAGAAAGGTACGTCAGAAACAGGGCGGATGCGAGATCATGATCGGAGGGGAAACGACTGACTATCAAAGTCTTTGAAATTTGTGAGCTTGATCCGTTTTCGCATGCCCAATACGTAGGAAGAAGTGCAGAGGCAGTTGATCAACATCCAGATGTAGCCGGCATTCAATGTCGAAACCGTAGTGGTCGCGTCGGAGCTGCTTTCGACAGCATGTTTGATGTCTGCCCACGCAGCAATGAGTGAGCTCAAAACCATCAGGCCGAAGGAGAACAGCGTGAGCCCGGTGACAGAGCCACCGAACCACAGAACTTCACCATAGGCGATAAGGATGATGGTCAAATTTTTGAAAATGGTGTATACTGGAATTGAAAGAAACTGGAGCGCCTTCGAGCCCGTGTAGATCATGCCGATCAACAACAGGGTAATTGGGAACCCTAAGTATGATCGAGATTCAGTCAGCATCTGCTTCAACGGGTAGGGCTGCCTTTGGAACTGCATACACTTCCTGGCCTCATCCGCGCTAAAATCACGGTAAGTGATTATGCCGCAGGCTTTGCACGTCTGAATTGCGACGATGCAAACGACGGACTGGGGACAGATAAAGACAACTGCGGTCAGCATCTTCGTACACGCGCTTCGCGCAAATTTGAGTTTCTGGTGCTCAATGCTGCATCGACGTACCTGGATACAGAGGAGGAAGAAATTGAGATTGAAGTCCGTGCCGGAGAGGACATATTTATTCATCACTGTCATCAGGATGGACGATCCGCAGTAAGCTAATACTGGCAGGACTGGATTATTTTGCAAAGAGTTGGATGGGGCGCTCCTTGGCTGAGGCGGCGGCGGCGCCTCGAAACCCTTGTTGCCTTGATCCAGTTTGTCCATCTCAATCGTATAGTCATCTGTCCTCTTTCCGTCGGCCATTTTGTTGACTTGAGACGGAGGGGATTGGCGAGAGCACAATTGGAGAGAGGATGTTCAAATGGGATTCAGATAGTCGCAGTTGGCGGAGTGAGCGACAAGGTGTCAATAGGAGTTGTTTCAAGGAACAAAAAGTCCTTATAACAACCTTAAAATCAAAGATATAGACAAGTCCCTCAGGGTAATGGCTCTGAACGGAGGAGCAAGAGAAGGCGCAAAAGTAATGATAAGAGAAAGAGAATAGGAAGAGGTTTTGGGGGGGTGGGGGGGGGGAATAAGAGTGGTAATGGTGAGAAGATGGGAGGAATTTGATAAAGGCTGCAGGGTGAAGGAGTGAGGAAGAGTCGGGAAGTGTTGTTCAGCAGAACTCTTGGCTGGCTGCAGTGCAGGTGGCAGAGGCCGATCTCTGGTTCCGGATGCGGCAATCTCAATTGGTACTGAAAAGTAATAATAATTTACCAGCTTATGTACATATAACATACAATTACGGTAATACTCCGAATACAAATACAGTCCCCCACAACGGACAATACACGGGCAAACACAGACAATCTTCCTCCCTGCAATTCGCTTCCTCTCTCCGCTGAACACCTCCAGTATCTCTCGCCTTGTCCTTTTGTTATTCCCAGCAAGGATACCAATTACATACGCAGATTCGTCAACATTCGCCAAAACGCTCATCTCCATGGCCCATCATCTTACCAGAGACCGGGATGAATCCGACGACGATGCCCTTCTTGAAGCTTTGGAGAACGAAGACGATTCATCGTACCGCGCGCATCGAATCGAACAGCTCAATGCTGAGTTTACTGCAGCCCAGAACGACGCGGCCCGCAGCACCGCAGCTCCTATTGGAACAGTCGTTGAGGATAGCCTCTATCCCATTCTAAGAACCGACCAATTACTTCTGGATTTCACAACACAAACCCACCGATGTGTCATTCACTTCGCACACCCAGATTTCGCGCGTTGCAGCACCATGGACGAGCACATCCGGGCGCTGGCTTCTCAGCACCACGAAGTACGCTTTGCGCGGGTTGACGTGCAGGACACCCCGTTTGTTGTAGAAAAGCTCAAGATTCGTGTCCTTCCCTGTGTCATAGGTTTCAAAGATGGGGTAGCGGTCGAACGTGTGGTGGGATTTGAGGGCCTTGGATCAGGTGGGCGCGATGGGACAGACGGGTTCAGCACGGCAACGCTAGAGAAACGGCTTCTTTGGAAAGGAATTCTCACCCAAGAGAAAATCAAGGCCACGGGTGACACCTCAGACCAGTCTGAGGAAGACAGCGACAACGACAACAATGGGCGAGGGTATGGAAGGCAACGGGCCATCCGGAGCGGTAACGTATATCAACGCCGCCTTGCTGGCGGCGAGGATGGTGAGGATGATGATTGGGACTAGCATTGAATTCGCCTCCAAAATAGGGCCTGGGCGTAATCACACGGGCATCCCAGCACCACAGTTCATGGTTCGGGATACTCAAATCCGTCAACTATGCAAGGGCCTATTGCTTCCATCATTATGCTTTCTGGGGTCGGAAAGGGTTCATCTTGTTCAACTCTCAGTCACCATGCGTTGGTCTGTGAGCATTTGGTGAACAGATGCGCTTTATTTGCAAGTTTCTGCGTCACGCACTAAGCTATAGGACCTTTTATTTTCGCGTTATCAATCAAATGATGGCCAAGCTCATCTATGGTTGTCGCCGCTACAAGCAAAAGTGCTTTCACCCGATGGCTCGAAACATTGAGCCAAACGAGCCACGTGTGATCGATGCAAAGTTCGTGTCGGGAAAAAACAAAGATTTTAGCCACCTGCCTTAGTCATGTTGCGCATTTTCATCACGATGGGACGGATGGTCCCTGCAGGCGATCCGACTCTTGGCAGATTTACCATTGAACACTTCCTTGAGTGTTCATGGCCAGGAACCGAGCGATTGAAATAGAAGAATGACTGGATGTGACTCGCCGGAAGTGGTCGGATACCGCATCATTGTCAAGTAAGATTACATACAAACATCGTAAAGGCATAAGACAGAGAAGAAAGGCGACGAAAGGATCCACAGACAACTGCCTAAGCAATGACGATCAACAGAAAATGCTGGGACAGCAAATGAGGTAGAATAAGAAACAAAAGCCAAAGCCATTGGGGCCATGAAGGACAAAGTGAGAAGTTTATACAATGGACTCAGATAATAAATTAATATCCCCATCGCTGGCCAATGGGCCGAGGAGAAAATGGCATGCTCGACAATCGAACAAAAGATCAACCTTCATTAATACTGCGAGAGTATAAAATGCTCATAGTCAGAGCGAAGGCATGATAAGGGAAACGGATTGGCAGAAATACAAAGAACAAAACAGCGCTGCAAAAACGATGTCTAGATAGTTACATTTTTCATCTCGCCTAAGACCTCAGGGTTCAACCCGGCAGCGGGAGGTTGGTCTGACAGTCCCTTGTCTGTTTCTGAAAGTCCATGCTCAGGCTCGGCTCCCAGTGCTTCGTCATTCTCTTTCCCAGATATCTGGGGCGTAGCGATCTCCATCAAATCCTCGGTCTGTTCATCTTTGAATGCAAGTTCTGAGTTACTAGCATCCGCTGTGGTGTGAACAGGACTTGTGGCCTCTTCCGTGACGCGAGCCAGGGGACTTGAAATGCCAAACTGAGTCTTTGGGCTTTGAGTAGAACCACGATTTGAGAAGCGATGCGGCGACCTGCCTCGTTCTTCACTCGGGGTGGGGCTGCCATAGGGGGATGCTTGGCCAGATTTGCCTCCTGTAGTCAGTCCCAAGCCGCTGGGAGTCTTGCGGCGAGGTGGTTTTCGACCATACTTTTGATCAGTTCTCCAGCGTAAAATCTCGAGATAAGGGGGTTCGACATTCTGCGCCTTGAATTCGAGAAGCTTGAGCTCATTGGTTTCTTCGTCCACGTGAACCTTGCCGCCGCAAATATCATCGGCAAACATGGCCAGAAATGCGGCCCAAGACCGAGCGACCACATATTTGCAATCATAGTCACGGCCAAATAGGATGACCTGCCCCCACTTCCCAGCAGGCCCGGGGGCCAGATCAATCGCAATGTGATTGCCGCCCCAGTCGCGAGCCAGAGGAATCCACGCAGGATGAGCATACGCCTTTTGAACGGCATTCGGGGGCTGCGAGTCCTGACGCTCGAGAAGATCCTGTCTCCACATGGGATTTGACGCTTGCGTGGGCGGAACGGCCGAAGACGAGCTGACGACTGCTTTCGGGACCGAGTTCATCATCGAGCTGCTCAAGAATTCTTCATTGACTGTCCTCCAGTTCTTCCATTCCTGGACGATTTCCTCACAGTCAAGGAGCATACATCCGAAGATGATGCCAGTAGGCAAACCCGGGCGCTCCTGCCCATCGTGCATCATCAACGACTCCCGAACCTCTAGTGGCAAGCTACAATCTAGTTCGTGCTCCAATTCGTTGATATCATTCTGTGTACAGCCCTCACACAAGTTATCGAAAAGCTCCTCGTAATTGTGTTCCAGCCATCTGTCAATTTTTCTCCACGAGTGACCAACCGGGGGTGGAGGCGGGGCGCCGTCGTGAAAGCTTTGCATCTGGATCTCAGGAACTCCTTCCACACCGGGGTCGGTTGACTGCCGCTTTTGTGATGACAATGAACGCATACCAGGCGAATAAGGGCGATTCGGGGACCCCGTACCCGTAGGAGATCCAGACCAGCCATTCGAGCCTTTCTGCTGGTCGTCATCGTAAGGGGCAGTTAAATCTGGGCGCGATTCGATAGCACTTGTCGCAATAGACGTGAGTGGCTCGTGTCGGCTTTGACTGAGAGGTACATGTTTGCCTGATCGATAAGGTGAGTCGTGGGATGCATGGCGATCATAGGAAGTCATGGTATGCCAAAAGGAACGCCATGCTGAACCGATGCTATCTAAGCGGTTAGATGGTCTGACAGCAGTAAAGTCGATAAGAGATATGGTTTCGTGTGTTTCTGTCAACCACAAAGAATATAAAGCACTTACGCATTCGCCATTGTGAGAGGCGGGTGGGGAAGGGAGGAAGATGTAACAAGAAGCCGAGTTGCGTGTCCGAACGGATGTTTCTTCGTTGCCTAGATCAGGAACAGCGGAAGGTGACCATTGGCTCTGTGTCTGAGGTTGATGCAGGAAACCGAAGTCTGTCGTGTTGTTCAAGGACTTAAGTTGCAAGATATGTTCAAATTGTGGAGGTGAGTGACGAAATAGAGTGATTGACGGATGAGAGAAAATCGCGTGTTGTAATGGGAAGCTCTTTTCGGGCCGGGGGCAGGGGACGAAAAGGGATGTGGAAGGGGGAGGGTGGGAAAGAGGAAGAGGAAATGTGAGTGTGAGTGTGAGTGTGAGTGTGAATATGAGTGTGAGTGTGTGAATAATTAAGATGAGGAGACGGAGGGAGGGAGGGAAGAAAGAGAAGAGAAGTGGACGGAGTGGGAGGGGAAGGCGGCAAGGAAGGGGGAAGAGGGGCGGAGAGAGGGAGGGAGAGTAGTCAGAGTGTACAAGTAGAATTGCAGAAGAAAAGAAGAGAATATCTCAAAAGAACAAATCAATCATGAAAAATAGACCTGACCAGTAAGGATTAGGAGATCGGAGAATTGAGAGGAGAACCAACCCAATCAAAATAAGAATAAAAATCGATTCAAGAGCCTATTCCAGTGAGCAATGCTTAATATCAGTATTGGAAAGAAGCAACTGAATCCATGGATAAGTACAGAGTAAACTGGGGATGGATGAAGAAAGAGGGAGGGAAGGAGGCAAGAAGAGGGAAGTTAATAGCAACTAAGATAATCGATTAGCTCTGAATACAGAGTATTTATTTAGTATCGTCTGAGATCTGATTTATATATAACTGCTGTATTCCGTAACTTAGTGATGACTTTGATCATTAGTACCCATTTTATTCATCCTGTTCACCAGGGATTATTGTGAGATAGTCTGTGTGCTTACTGCAGTACAGGTAGTCAACTGCTGACTTACTTAATATGTATCTAAGATGATCACTCTGTACGGAGTAGTGAGCAGAGATTGCCCCTGGAATTGCGGCGGCATCTGGAACCAGGGAAGGAAGGGGAGACTGCTGAAGTTCGCTGGCCGGATTTCCTGCCTTTACTATCTGAAATTGGGGGGCTATCCTATTGTACTATACAGTACAGTACAGTATACCTGCTATAGCTCTCTCTCTTTCTTCTCCGTCAAACTGCCTAGAAATTCTCCTGAATGCACGTTCTGCGCAAGGGAAGCTCGGGTTCTAAAGAGCGCCACTGCATTCCTGCGCTCTTGTACAAGTATCATAGCTGAATCCGGATATGAGGAACTTGCTATGTAGACACGGTACTTACAGCTAACTGGTACTTACGGAGTGCTCATACCTGGTACACAGCACATAAAGTACCTAGTATTTAGTTATATCATCAAACCCCTTTAATGCAAATAATTGATACTGACACCAGCAGTCTTTCCCGTACAACCGGTAATGGTATTAGAGATATCTATGTTCTTGGTAGAATGTTTCCTATGTTAGGAGCTACTGGGATTCTTCAGGGCTGATTATATTGACTAGGAAATCTTTTTCTATTTCCATTATTATGGTTAAGGGGTCTATATTCATATCAATCTCATTTAGAATAACCACATCATGGATTCTATATATACACTAACATAAAGGAGAAGGAGCTGAGAAAGCTCTACCGCTTACTTCATAGGGTCTAACACTGGTTGCATTAGAAATACAACAGGTGTCAATATCAATTTCCTCTAAAGCGGTAATCGAACTCAGGTCCCTACATACCATAAAGGTATAAAACGATACAGCACCTATACAAATGAGTACAAACAGTCCCGGTTGACTCATTATTATCATTCTTATGTCCTCCCCAAAATAGTACTGATACAGAGAAGTAACCTACATGCTCCATCTTCATCTTCATCAACTCTTTTTGTGTCTGGCCGTGTAATTTTTCAGTGCAAAGTGGAGCAGAAGCCGAGTGGGTCGTCGGGAACTACTCCGTACGTACCATTTCGCCGTTAGGCTTGGCTTCGTTGTTGTGGCGGCTTCTGTCCGCGTTCTGGACTCTCCTCCAGTCAGGTTAACTAATTAGATGCAGTGGATGGACAACCTTGAGGTCATTGGGTGTAATTACGCAGGTACGGACTCTCTAATACCTACTAGGTAGCTATCTTTAGTCTATCGCTACTCCTTGACCTTGTCCTTTCACATTCTCCGCCGGGCAGGGTTAGAGTTTATACATACTCACATTTTATCATATGTATATATATATATATATATATATAATATAACATGTCCACGTTTCCTTCCAAATTCCTTTCTGAGTTATCTGCCTCGCTAAGCAGCCAGTGTCCATGAATACTGTCATCTGTTCTGAGTCTTCTTGGTAAGCTCGCCTGATGCCTATGCAACAAGCAGCAAGGGGTGGGGGGTGGCTCCCCCCTCAGCCATGACCCATAGCAACATCACTTATATGCGTCATCACTCATGTATCACGACACGGAGAGTGTTTGAAAATCCCATGATAAACAGCCGGCACATGATCGTGTGCAGAGAGAGCCACATCAGATAACGGGAGGCATGGACGGTAATGAACGTAAATACAGATTAGTGTGTGTCGAGAAATATAGAAGCATAGGAATGATAGAGATTCTGAAGGTTATGCGGGGTCGTGTGTACCAGCAACAACTGCTCCAAAACTGCCCTTAATGAAGATTGCCTCAGCTTCATGACGAGTAATCTAGCCAGAAAGCATTGTGCCACACAATCCCGACATGATATAGGGTGGCCAGAGAATGCGACCATCAGGGCAACAAATGAATTGAAAGATGGCCCCCACGACAAGATGTGAGCAAAAGAAACATGACCCAGTGGAAGTACTATAATAACAACAATGAAGTATACCACGCGGTCATCAAGCCTTGCCGGTTCGACACCCAGAGAAAAATACTCGAAAGGCAACCAGACTCAGGTTTGATGCAAATGGGGTATAACTGATCCCAGCAAGAGTCATAATCCCAGCCATCCACAACATAAAGTTACCAACATGAGCTGCGGTGAATACCAACAAGGGAGGGCGGACTGGTGGGGATAAAGCCAAAACGAAAACCCTTAAGGAACGAGAAACAAGACAAGCAGGGAAGAATAGCTACTGAGCCAGATAGAAAATCGGGAAGGTTGAAGACATATCAATCAAGTCTGAATGAAAGACATGCAACGATGCGAACACGGCTATTAGTATCGGCCTGGATGCGCTCAGAAGCTGGAGTTGAGCTCAAATCAATCATTGAACAGATGGTACTTAAGATCCGAAGCATCAAAATAAGAATTGATCGGGAACAAATATCAGCACAAGAGTAAAGGCTAGCATTCTGTGACATGTAGATGCAGTCAGGCGAATGAGCTTTGAATGCCACCAGCTGAAACACCGGAGGGCGCATCGAGTTTCAATATACGTCGCAAATCATCCTCCATCTTCTTAGTATCGACAGATTGCGCAGCCGGACTAGCCGAAATGGCACGAGACACGGGAGAGTGCTGAGGTGGGGGATAGTACATTGGGTACTGTACGTATTTAGGCGGAGACCTTGGCTGCCCGTAGGTATGTGGAGGAGGGTAGTGCGCTTCTCCAGGAACAGTCGGTCTATTCCCAACTTTCGTCGAGAGAACCTCCTTTCGAAGAGGCGAGTATGGGGGCTGGGCTTGGTGAAAAGCGTGGTGTTGCGTGTATGGTATTGGCGAATACGAACCGATGCCAGAAACGGGTTGTTGGTGCTCGGTAGACATAGAATGCGAGTAAGAAGCAGGTGGCCCAGAAGTTGCTCTTAGGGGAGTCGCAAAGTGAGGCACACTATGGTTGGCAGAGGAATGCCCACTGAAGCTTCCATGTTGTTTCTGGGCCGTAACCGAGGCTGAGGACGGTCTCTGAGGGCGAGGGTTGAGCAGCAGGCTCTTCAAAGCCTCTGTCTTAACCTGTCGTTCATTTTCGTCCAGGTGGTCTGTTGACGGAGAGGGTGAACTGGCTGACCGCAGAGCATTCATGCGATCCTTGTAGGATGCAGCGAATGAGGTCCCGATGAGCGATTGACTGCTTTCGGGACCATCCACATCGGCCGTGAAGAGTCCATCGCTAGCGCCAGCGCCGATGGTACTGCGGTTGCAAAGAGCTTTCGAATCGGTTTGTGGGGATGATATTCTCATGATCGACTCCGGGCTATGCGGCTGCTGAGAATTTCGAGCTTCAACTGCAGCTTTGAAGAGAAAATCGAGTGGTGTGGGTTTGCGTCCTTCGTCCTCATAGACCGGACGCACTCTAGATTTGGAGGGCGTACTTTCTGATTCTGGACTGGTATCGAGATTGTCGTTGTCGGCTTCTAGTCCCGAAGAAATGTCCGACTCAGGCAACGACATGGAAAAAAAGCTTGGTATTGGAAGAGCGGACGGCGCTGGCGATGCATGAAAAGTAGGACCTGCATAATGCGAGCTGTCCTTTGCTTGTGGGGTGGAAAGATTGTGTGAGTGCGATGAGGTATGCCGATGCTCGTTGCTAGAAACAGGAGAGGCCCTTGATGCATCGCGAGGTTTTCTGTTGGTCCGCGCAGGCTTCTTTTTAGACGCACTAGGGTTATAGTTGAAAGAAGAGTCCGTGGCAGTTCCGCCAGGACTCTGATTCCGCGGTGGCGACGAGGGCGGGGTTGCCAGTAAGGTGACCTTCTGAGACAGCGGGGTGGTATTTCTTTTCGAATTCCGACGATTGTTTCGAGGACCCTTTGGCGTTGGAGGAGTAGGTGATTGGGTTGACATTGTGAAAGGCCTTCGAAGATAGACACAGCTTCGGAAGCGGATATGAGAAAACAAGCGCGATAACAAGTAGAGCCAAGTCAGAATAATTAGGCGAGAAATTCGCTGTATTACGCAGTGTGCCCAGCAGCCTGTGCTGGAAAACCCGACACTACAATCTCAAGAGACGACGAAGTGACAATTGCGCAGTGCGATGGTGAGGTGTAGCCCAACCAGTTGGCCTTGGATCGGAGGTTGTGCACGGGGAATATATGCAAGCTTCTGTGTACAAGATCAAGTGTGGAATGAGTAAGAGGATGGTAAAAGAGGAAGTAAGCCAGGGATCCTAGACATGCTCACATTTACACGAGCGATGAAAGACAGAGTAAAGAAAGCAGGCTGGGAAACATTGTAGGAAGTCGTTGAAGCTGGGTTGGGTTCGAAGTGGTTGTTGGACCATGGGAAGGGCGGGAAGAAGAAAGGCTGGGGGTGGGAGGAGCGGGGGTGAACAGTGATGACTCAGCATCCGCCGCCCACCTTGGCTCACTGCGTACAGTAAAGTCGGTCGAGGATCAGGTAGCAAGCAGTTGTTTTCAGTCAGTTACAGTGCGGTTGATACCTT